AATTTTCCAACATTTTTTGGACAATTAAATAACGAATAAGACAAATTTTGCAAAGTTTTCTAGTATGTTACCTAGCTAAAATTGCTTTTTGAAAATATTTAGAAATAATTTTTCAAACATAATCTTAACCAAATAAAACATCCAAAAAAACATAACCCAAATTAATGTATTCAACCCAAATAGAATCTTGCCACAAACAAAATCATCAAATAATAAAAATATTTTTTTTCTTGGAATCAAAATAATCCTTCGTCAGCCGAAAACAAACTGGCCTAGAAGAATTTTTAGGCTGGCTTCACCTATACGCCCCTAAAATGAAATCGAAAATTTGGATTTCAAACCAAGACTAAACCTCAAGACCTCCTTTTTTTTTTGGCATTCCCAACTATAAAAGGATTTAGGATAACAGAAAAGAACAAAATACAAGTTTTAATATTATTCAAATAAGTCCAGGGATTCAGAATCGAAAATTAATGCCATTGTGTTCAATAGTTTCAAACTAGATCAACAAGCCAAAATTAAATAAATAAAAAATTGAATTTCAAACGCAGAGAAATCGCAATAGACTGTTTAGGAACCCAAATGAACAAACATGTTATCCAGTCATCTTTCAATGGAAGAATCAAATAAGGATGAAAAACATATACAACTGATATAATAACGTCAAAATATGAATAGAAACTAGAATGAGAATTTGACATTTACAGCCACCCTCGTGGTGATCCAATATATGGTTCCGTCCTCTGATTCAAAAGTTTAAATATTCACAGCAATGATTTCATTATAATTATAATTTATATAAAGATATAAAATTAAAGCCAATCTAAATCCAAATGCATGGCTTTAACCCAATGCAAATAGAGATACTTACTATAAAATTGATAGATAAAATTATATAGCAAGGTAGAGAAGATCGAGACGCTCTGATGTCACGATGCCACATGTTGAGAGAAAATAATTACAATTGAAGATATGATTTACAAATAATCATATATCGAAGTCACAACGGAAGTCCTTTATGAAATAGTTCATCATTGCTTATTGATATAATGCAGAGTGTCTACAAGTAGCACATTCAGACAAGAACATTAAAATTTAAAAAGTATTGTTAGAAGAAAGGTTATTAGAGTATCTTTTGACTAGCGCAAAGGTACAGTAATGGATTGAAGATAATTCTCACTAGTCAAAGAATCCTCAGAGAGTAGATATTATATTTTTTTGATAGATAACGTATTCTTATTCAAACAACTATCATTTACTTAAAGTCTCCATCAGATTATTTTCACTTAATTAAATAAATGACTAATAATATCCCTAAACCTAGACTCAATCTACAATTGCCTAACAGGCCACATTTAAAATATTTTATTTAATTGAAAACATAATATCGAATAATAAAATATACTATATAACATAATAAAATATTTAATAGTTTCTGCCAAGTGCCACCAATTTATGATTATGAAAAAGTTAGATGAACTTGAGCTCTCGGGGCAAAAATAATTAGCTTGAGTTAATTAACAAAAATATTTATTTTCATGAAATTGTTACTTGTCCTGCGAAAAAGAGGGAATACAATGCAAATGAGCCTCATGAGTGTAGCCCATTTTCTTGGAGACCGACTAACTTTAAGGTGATGTTCTGCGCCTCGTCATTTAAGCCTCGTTTGATATGATAGAAGAGTTTTTGATAGAATAGAAATCGGAATCAGAATTGAATTGAATTTTAAAAGTGTGTTTAGTATGAAGATGGAATCATAATATAATTTTAATATGTATATATATTTAAAATATAAAAAATCAAAATACCATTTATTTTATTTTTTAATGAAAAACTTAACAATAAAAAAATAAAGAATGTACTTTTAAAGCTTAAAATACCTTTTATTTTATTTTTTTAATGACACATAAGCCTATTCCATGTTGAGTTGGTGGATTCCATGGTCTCTACAATGAAATTGGATTCCATCAATTTTGATGAAATCGGATTCCTTCAAGAAAGCAATTCTGGTATACCAAACAAGCCAACTGAAGAATTTCATGTCCAATTTCATTTCTTTTTTCACAATTCTGATGTACCAAACATGGCCTTACTTGTGAAAATCATGGATGCGGAGGGCTGAAACTATTCATGTGCGCGTTTGATTTTTTAATTTATCAAAAATTCATTTATTAAAAATTTATTTAATAAAAATCAATTAAGTAAGAGTCTGATTTATATTTGAATATATTTTTTTAAATATTAATTTCATAAATTAAAAGTTATTTAGATTAATGATGATTTATGCTTATAAAATATACTTTTAGATATGTAATGATCAAAAGGACATCGATTTATAATAATTCATTATTTTTGTTATTCAAATATAATGTATTAAGAATGTTTAAACAATGTGAAAAATTTTAAAATAACATAAAATTTAATATGTTAAATAATGAAAATAAAAAATATATAGTTTAGTATTAGAAAAAAATTAAAATATAATAAGGGTATCATGATTATTTATAAAAGTAGGTACAACTCAACTCCTACTTGCAATTTCAAATCTGTCAAAAAGTTAAGTTGCCAAATCTATATTTTAATCACATTTCAACTCACTTTTAAAAAAATATTTTGTTCACAAAAAAAAAAGCGCAAATAACATTTAACGTCTGAAATGTTTAAAAATAGATATATGTTATTGGCTAAAAAAAAAGATCTATGTTGAAATCCCAAATGCACCCTATCATGCTTTTACTTCATCAAGCATTTGAAAATCATTAGTTTGATGGCTCATTAAGCTACGGATTTTTAACCGATGGGATGTTGGATTACGGCATCAAGGATCACTTCACATATGAGGAGATGGAGAGAAGAAAAGAAGTTGAAGGAAGGAAAGGTTTTGTTGGGCATTTCTGTTTTCCTGCACGGAAGGATAATAAAGTAATTTCATAACAAAATTTAATCACAACAAAATTCCCTGAAACCTTACAGTGAATTATTGATTATATCATTTTAGAGCTCTGATATGGAATTTCTACATTCTATAAGTACTTTTCTGTCATGCTACCATAGTCTTTTCAATTTTGTCATAACTTTTTGAGATTACAAATGATGACACTTCTAAAATTAATTTTTACCAGCTAAAAAATTCTATATATATTTTTATTTTACTTACTGTACATTTGTCTTGGGAGAAACCTCCTCCCCCTGCCATCTCGGCCTCTCTCTCTTTGTTTGTTTAAGAAATTATTTTTTTATAAATCACATAACATAAAAGATAAATTATTAATTATATTCTTCTAATTTTTTTCTATTGCATAGTTTTAGGAATAGAATAAAATATTACATAAAAAAAAGATTTTAAATGAAGCTATAAATTAAGGATGATCGTCAAGTTAGTCATTTTAATGTTGAAAATAGTTAGGATTAAGCCTCTATTTTAATATAGAAAATGACAATTTGATTTTAAAAATGCTGGCCTTTTAAGCTCAAAAATAAAAAAAACCATCCTTTTATTATTTTTGTAAAAAATTTCAATGTAAAAAAGTAAAAGAATAAAAAACTAAATATCTAACTAAAAGAAATGAGAACCCTAGACTTAATATTGATAATAATGATAATTATCAAGGTTTAACTGATGCTGGCAAAGTCAAATTTTTATTGACATTGATTTTGATATTGCTATTTGATACTTTCTCCGTTTAAAAATGTAAGGTATTTTTTGAGAAATTTAATGTTTAAAAATGTAAAATATTTTCAGTCTTTTGAGATATAATCATTACTTTTTTTTTGAAAGTACCCCTATTGATAATAACTTTATATTTATTGTAGGGTATTTAATAGGGATAAATATAAAAATATAGGGTTAGTTTAAAAATAAGTAACTATTTTATTGGGGGATACAATTTAGTTAAAAATGCCTTATATTTTTTAACAGAGAGAGTATTAGATTGGATGTTTATGTTTTACATATTTGTAATTGTATAGATTAATTTAAATTTATTTTCTTACACTTAATCTTATGTACAATGATTTTTTCAAAATTATAAATATACATTTTAAATTTTTAAATTCAACAACTTAAAAAAAAGAGTGTCAAGGTCTACATGGCCGACCCTCTACCTCAGAGGTAGAGGGTCAGCTGTTGCAAAATGGATATAATTAAGCTTATTAAGGTCATTTTGTTTGGGTCCTAATTTTTTAAGTAACAATTTTAATTAACAATTTTGATTTTAAAGACAATATATTTAATAAAAATAAATTGATTTTTTTGACACAATACAATAATTTAATTCATTGGTAAAACTATATTCTTGCATGTTTATTTTTATTTAATATAATATTTTAATTAATTTTTTTATTAATTATATCTCTATTTAAGATTATTTAAAAAAAAGGCAAAATGACCCAAAATATCTATGATTTTATTTGCTCGTTATAGAGCATGAGAATGAAATGAGTTAAAAAAAAATATAAATAAATTAAATTATTTTTATTTCTAATGAAAAACATGTTTTATAACTTCACAAAATGAATTATTTTTTTCCTTTATAAATATATGTTTCAGTATTTCTCTTTATTTTGATAATCTTATTTTTATATTTATTTTTTAATAATTTTATTTTTTTATAGCAAGATAAAACTTACTCACTCTATTAAAAAATGTAAGATATTTTTAACTAAATTTTATTCTCAATAAATTAATTATTTATTTTTAAACTAACTTTATTTTTTCATATTTACTCTATTAAACATTTAATAATAAATATAAAATTATTATTAATAAAGATAGTTTTTAAAAAATAATAATTATATTTTAAAAAATTTAAAAATATCTTACACTTTTAAATATTTAATTTATTAAAAAATATTTTATATTTTTAAATAGAGTATAATTTTAAACACCTGATCTTAAAAAAAAAAAAATGCTATTTTTTATACGCTGATAAAAAAAAAAAAAAAGAAGACCATCCTCAACTGAGCTGGCGAGACTTCAGAGTCTGGAGACTCTTACATAGACGCACGATCCTATTACGCGCTACAGCCTACACTGATAGAGCTCTGCTTTTCTCCTTTTCCGTCGCGATTCTGGACACAAAGATACTTGGCGTTGAGTTAGGGCAAAGTCTTTCTATCTCAAGCCTCTCTTCTTGCCCTCTCAAGATTCATTTGAAACGAAAAGGGTTTTTGGCCGAGGGACGATGATAGACCCTATGGACGTACTTCGATCCAATCTCTCCCGGGTTCGGATCCCAGAGCCTACCAATCGTATCTATAAGCAAGAATGTTGCTTAACTTTCGATACCCCGGTACTTCCTCTGTCCCATTTCTCGTTCTGAAATGATGGTGTTGAGGTTAGAGTAGCTATAGTTGTTTTGATTCTTCCCCATCTATTGGTGAACCATTTTTTATCTTACTCAGTCAAGCACATTTCGTTTTTTTCCTCTTTCTTTTTGGCTCTGACTCCAAATTTCTTGGCCTTTCGAACAGCAGCTCTACTGTTTGGTTACCGAGAAAGCGTCACAATCTTTAAGAATACGCAATCAGTATTTCTCTTTAGTTCTTTACTAAATTTTTCACATGCAATGCCAGTTATAGTCTAATGCTGTTGTTCTTGCAAATATTGGTTTTCGGCTATCAGTTTTTTACTCACCAAGATGTGCACAATAACCGTCATATGTTGGATTGTCGGTCATTTTTCTTTTCTTTTAATTGCCTGAATCATTCTTGGTGACTTTCAGAGTGTGCTTTTTGTCACTTTTGTGATTTTAATTCTTTCAGATTACATGTTTTGACTATTCTTTTATATTATTACTGAATTTCCTGAGTTTGGTAAGTGGGGAATTTGGTTTCATGATCATTATAGATTGAAGAGAATGAAGCAAATAGTTTAGGGTTTCCTACTGTTTCCCCTTATTCTAGCTGGAAGTTGATTGGTATTAGTTTATCTGAAACTATTTTTGTCTAGAGATTCACAGTCCATATAATTGATGCATCTGGTGGTATTGATTAATTTCAGAGGTCAGATGGTGGACTATTCATCGATATGTACACTTTTCTTGCTTTCGGAAAGGATTGTGTGGGCTGGAATTATGAGAAGACTGGTGATCCTGTTTATTTACATATAAAGCAAACTAAGAAGATAGTTCCTGAAGACAGACCTTCAAAAAAGCCTACTCTCTTGGCTATAGGTACATGAATAACGATTGTGCTTGACCATGTTACGATCATGTTTCTAAGTTCTAGTCCCTACACAATCTATTGTGCAGTACTCCAACATTTTTCATCATTTTATTTCTCATGCTTCAGAGGTCAGAATAGTTGAATATATTATCATATGCTTGAAGGCTAGTGCTGCCATCTCAAGAATCATTTATCCAATCATTTTGTTGTGGGAATTTGACTTCAAGTCACTGCTTACTGATTATTCCTTTAATTTTCTACTGGGACTAATTGTAGTTTTCAAGCTATTACTTCAGTATATTTTTATTTTTGATGATTCAAAATGCAGAATCCTGTGATGAATAGTATATTACTTTTTTATTATTATTTTAATGCATTATGATCGCTGAAATGATTGTGCTTCGTTCTTATTTCAGTTGAGACGTAATTTATGAGTGTGTTTGTTACTAATAGTTCTTATTGGTGATAACAATATCTAGGACTCCTTACTAGGAAATATGGGTTCTGTGGTTTTGCTATTTTCCTGGCCAAGTAATTTGTTTCAATATTATTACCAATTAACTGTAATTCTCTTGATGACATATTGTGATCCATCTTGTTAATTTGTAGGTGTTGATGGGGGATTCGATAACAATGAAGATGAATATGAAGAAACCCACAGCATAATTATATTGCCTGACTATGTGTCTCTTCCATTTCCTTCAGTCGAGTTACCAGAGAAGGTGTGTGTTACCCTCTTTTCACGGCTTTTTCCTTATTCTGCAATCTTCCTCTCATTTCATTATTAAAAGTGATGTTGATATGGAATGGGGAGATTGATGCGGGAAAACATATTGATTAAAAAAAAATAGAAAATCAAGGGAAACATGCTAAAAGTGGCGAAAATTTTGAATGAAAACACAGCCAAACTATGGATGGCATCCCGTGGACTGTTACAATATTTCTGGCTCCACTACATATGCTTTCTCTGTCTGTTTGGTATTTGGTGCCTTGTTCTGGTTGATTTTTCTTTGATGTATGGCACAACTCTTAAATTGGTTATCATGTGTGTTAAAAATATCGCAGGTAAGGTTAGCTGCTGATGCCATCTTACTGTCTGAGGGTGCTGAACGGAAACAGCAAGTTGCAGCTTGGACTGCAGATGTGAAAAAAGTCAGTGCATTTGCAACAAATTTACAGCAGATTAACAATGGTGTTGTTATTCCTCCAACTGGGTGGAAATGTTCCAAATGTGAGAAGACAGATAACCTTTGGTTAAATTTGACTGATGGATTGATCCTTTGTGGGAGGAAAAACTGGGACGGAACTGGTGGTAACAACCATGCTGTTGAGCACTACAAGGAGACTGGCTACCCTCTTGCTGTAAAGCTTGGGACTGTTACTGCTGATCTTGAAGCAGCAGGTAATACCCAGTTGCTTTATATGTAATGTTTTATGAGTTATGACATCATGTCCTTACTAATAATCTAATACCGGTAACTTTCTCATATGACAATCAAATTTGTTAGCATGAAGGGCTGATACACTTTTTTGAAGGGAAACAATTGAAAACTTTTACTTCCAGCTTAGTTTCAGGCTCTCCCAGCATGAAGGCTTGATGTTTGATTTTATGTTTATGTGATTTATTTTTGAATTATGTGTCATGATTTTATCATTTTCTTTTAACTTTTCTGGGTTAATTTAATTTTTTACCCCTTTTTATGTTCAGTATAGTATTTCGATCTATAATTTCAATTATTGCAGTCTTTTTTCTTTATTTTGCTTATTGGACTAGTTCCTTTATTTTCAGCTAGCAAAGTTTAAAGACTGTAGCTAGTATTCTGACTTCTCAGTGAACTAATCTATTTTCCTTTTAATTGTTGTTTTGATTACCTTCATTTATTAAATAAGGGAACAGCATCACTTCAGTTAAAGCTAAAGAGTCTGAAGACTGAAGTGCACTTATGACTAATAAAGATGGATAACATTGCTCAAATTGAAAATAAATGGACTGAATTGTTTTGATGAGTACTAGGGGACTGAAAACATTGTGTATGCAGTGTGGCCTCTTGATTATGTAATTTATGGAATACTATATTTTGCCTAACGTGGAAAGCTGGCAACTAGGTTCAAATACTAGTATATGATAATTTTAATCTTCAATTTCAATATTGTTATTTTAATAACAGGAAAGTTCCTAATTAAGGACAGGAGCAGATTAAATAATATTAGAAAATGTGGAATCTTTGTTGATTCTCTTACAGAACGCTGATTAATAGGGAATTAGGCTGAGTAATCCTGTCAACTTTTAATTTCGTTACAGAAAGGATTCATTATTTGTTCTATGGTGTTCTAATAATGGTTAATGTATTGTGGCAGCTCAGACGTTTTCTCCTATCCAGAGGATGACAGTGTAATAGATCCACTTTTAGCACAGCATCTGGCATTTTTTGGCATTGACTTCTCATCACTTCAAAAGGTTATTTCTGTATCTTGGCTTAGTATTTTTCAGTGACTCTTGGGTCTAGCCTGTTGATGTTACTGATAACATTATATGGATGTCAAATTGACTTCCTTCATGTGATATGAAAACGTTAGTTGATGCAATCCTTAAGTGTTACTTTTAAAGTGAGAAGAAATGTTTCAGAGCTTCAGAAGGCATATAAAAGATACCTCTCTTTTTGCCCCATCATATTTGATGTGTTCTTTATGGGGTTGACGTGGAGTCCGTGAAGGTATCAAGTTGAATGAAGTCCTTTATTCGACCACTTGTAGTTGTGCAGGACTATATTCTTTTCACTTCCTTTGCAACAATGGGGAGTTTTGGAGCATGACTAATACTATTTTTTAAAACTTCCCACATTTTTGCATTCAGACAGAAATGACAACTGCTGAAAGGGAACTTGACCAAAATACCAATTTTGATTGGAATCGAATCCAAGAAAGTGGACAGGACGTGGAACCCATTTTTGGACCAGGATATACAGGGCTGATCAATCTTGGAAACAGGTAGGATGTGAGTTTTTTTTTTTTGGGGGTTAATTGCTGCTCTTTGTAATGTACTTGTTTTCGTTTTTTCTTGTGATCTCTTTTGCTCTTTTATTTCTTTCTTTGTTTTTTAATCCAGCTGTTACATTGCTGCAACTATGCAAGTCGTGTTTTCAACACAGTCCTTCTCTTCACGGTCAGTATATGTTTCATTTTTAGTTGTTCCTCCTCATGGTCTATCTGGGTCCTCTTTCCAGTTACATCAACGGATTGTTTGATTCCTCTTAGGTATTATGCAAATCAAAGTCTAAAAAATGCATTTGAGGTGGCCCCTGCTGATCCGACTGTAGACCTGAATATGCAGTTGTAAGTAATTAGCCTGTATTATTTTTACACTTCTGTAGGCAGGTAGCTATCCATGAACTGTTCATTATGTTTTGCTTCATGTGGTTAGTGGAGGGAGTAGTTTGCCTCCCACATTCTCTGCCATTTTTGCACGGATGTTTAAGTATGAATATATTTTGGATGGCAAAGCTGGATTAAGTCAGTCATTTGGCTAGATAGTTTATATCTATATCATCGATTGTATATTCTATAGACCATCTTGTTTCCATTATGAAAGGGAAAAGTTAAAAATATTGAGGTATTTCAAGGAAAAGTATAACTGTAGTTTCCCATTTGATGGCAGGACAAAATTGGGACATGGTCTACTATCTGGAAAATATTCTGTTCCGGCACTTGAGGTGTGCCACCTATTGCTTAAACACATATCTTTGGATGATTAGTTTATAAATTTTGTTTTTTTATATGTTTATTTTTGCCATCCAGAAAGATGGAAATGCAAATTTGGCCACCTCAGCTACTACCGTAAGCACGTTTAGTTTGTGCTTCTAGTTATAGGCATAGTATCATGAATGTTTTTAAGTTGTAAATTTGGATAAGTTCTGCACGTGATATGTTTGGGTTTTTCCTTTGTTAGGTTATATACTGTGTTAGTTTCTGTAAGGAAACGTTGTTTTTTTCCCCATCTTTTTCCAAGTTATATTTGATATTTTGGGCTTAAATAAAAGGGAGGATTACACACAAGTCCCACAAAACACATTTGAATACCACAAGGTCTAGTGATAATTTAGCAAAGGAAAATGACAACTATTTTAGCTATTTTCTTTGCTAAGTTGTTAATGGACCTTGTGGTATTGAAATATATTGTGGGGGGCCTCAAAATAATTCTCTCTAAGTAAAATGGAGGCAAATTTCTTTAGGTTTAGGTTGAAGTCTTAGTTGAAAGAGACTAGATTCATTTTATTGAATATTCTTCTGCCTTGATGAGTTTTCTTTGCTTGTCCTCCCTCCTCCCCTCCCTGTTTTTTCATACTTCAGAAACAGGTAGGGATACCACCCCGCATGTTCAAGGCTGTAATTGCTGCCAGTCATCCTGAATTTTCGTCTATGAGGCAACAGGTATCTTTAGTTATTTCTACCTGAACGCAAATTATTGGCATGAGACCTGTGTAGTATGATTTTGTTCCATTTGCCAACGTCGATAGTCATTGAAGATTTCACTCAAAGAGGTAACTTTTAGGTATGAGTCAGAAAATAAGTGTAAGGCATGGTGTTACTGCTGTTTCACTTACAGAATCCTCTGCTTACCTAAATTGGCAAACTGACAGAGTTATGATACTATTTCACTACACTTTAGTATTTGTGCCTCCTATAAGCATGCAATGTTTGCTTTTACTGGAAAGATAGTTAATGTTTTATTTTTGTTCGAAAGATGCTTGGGAGTGTGGTTATTGATCCAAAAACCAATATGATGGAGTCCTTTGTCTCTTGTTTGAAGTGGCTGCTAAAGAAGATACATTATTAGCTGTATAATTAAGATTTTATTCTTGTCTTCTCTTTACCGCACTTTATCCTTCTATACTTCCAGCATTTTGTGTATGATAATTTCATGGTAATTTGTAATAGGAATTTTTATCACCAAATGCACAATCACCGGCTGATTAATTAGGCTATTTAAAGTCTCTGAAATTCTGATGTTTTATTTAATTCCCTTTCTTGTGGATCTGTGGGTACTTTTTCTTATATAAAGTAGTAGTAATGCGGATTACTTGTAAAGTGAACTTATAGTCTAACTGATAATCTGAGTTCGTATGCTATCTTTTACAGCTCAACATTTCCTTGTCGTGCTTGTTTATGGTTGATTGTATATAGATCCGTGAGTCTTAAAAGTAGAAAAGGGGAATTTTTTTTTTTAATCAAGTATTTCTCCTGTCCTGTTGTGTCTTCTTTGATTTGCTATTTTCTGACTGTATAATTCCAACTTTTATGATAGGACGCTTTGGAATTTTTCCTACATTTTCTTGATCAAGTTGAACGAGGTAATGCTGGGAAATGTGAATTGGATCCTGCAAGGAGTTTCAAGTTTGGTATTGAAGATAGAATCATGTGTTCGTCTGGAAAAGTTGCATATAACAGAAGGCATGACTACATTCTTTCTCTTAATATCCCCTTGCATGAAGCAACTAATAAAGGTGGGTTTCACAGTCACCTGTACTTCCCTGGGCCGTGATGTCATGTAAGTGTTGTATATAATACTTGCATTGTTTAATGATTTTCAGATGAATTAGAAGCCTTTAACAAGCTGAAGGCAGATAAACTTGCTGAAGGGAAGGAAATGTAAGTTCAAATGTTTAGATATCTTATACCCTCATTTCCTTTTCTAGATTCTGCTGAGAGTATCTATTCTGATAGGTCTGGCAATGACATTGTTCGCCCGAGGGTGCCTTTAGAATCCTGCCTTGCAAGTTTCTCAGCTCCTGAGGAGATAAATGATTTTTATAGCACTGCCTTGAAGGCAAAGACAACAGCGGTGAAGTAAGCATTTTTGATTCTTCTCAATCCAGTCTTTGTTTCATGTGACAAAGTTTTAGGAATATTGTGTTTTAGTTGTTTAGATGATAAGTTCATGTTGGCAAGTATTACTTTCTACCTTCCAATAAAACAGTAATATCATCTTCAATGTTGCAAAATTCATCTTGATACTAAAATATTATTCATTCTGTAGGACGGCTGGTTTAACCTCATTCCCAGATTACCTGGTGTTACACATGCGGAAATTTGTTATGGAAGCAGGCTGGGTTCCAAAAAAGCTTGGTAAATTTTACATTGACATGTCTATAATGTGCCGCAAGGTCTTTTCTTAAAATATTTATCATGTAAAATATTGCTTTGCAATTTCTTTTTACAGATGTATATATAGATGTTCCCGATATCATAGATATTAGTCATATGCGCAGCAAAGGTCACCAGCTTGGGGAGGAGTTGCTACCTGATGGGGGTATGTTAGTGATTTTTCTGTTCGGCAATTATCTTGTGGAGATCCAAGAGAGGAAAAACATTACTTTGTTTAAAAAAAGTGAAAGTCTTGCATCAAAACTGATTGTGTGATCGTGCCCGCGCATTGTAACTTTCAGGGGTAGAAACTTGATGATTAATTAGATATCAAGATAGTTTGCCTTCTGGCTAGTCTCATTAATTGTTGGGATAAAAGTCCTATTGTTGGGATCAGACAACTTGCATATTTCTTCTGTCATGTATTCTAAATCTTATGATCATGCGGACTTTGGCCTCTAGTGGCTTCGTAACCAAAAATTGTGACAATATCTGAATTGTTTTTGGTGCTGCACAGTACCTGGTGAAGAGGATTCAAGCCAGCCGATGGCTAATGAAGAAATCGTCTCACAGCTTGCCTCTATGGGCTTTAATTATCTTCATTGTCAGAAAGCTGCGATAAATACTTCAAATGTTGGGGTAGAAGAGGCAATGAATTGGCTGCTGTCTCACATGGATGATCCAGGTCTGAGATTATTTTTCTTTTTATAATAAGAAAAAGAGAATCTTTTGCTATCAAATGTGCCTCGAAGTTGAGACAAACGATACTAATATATTTCCTTTTATTTGCAGACATTGACAATCCAATCAGCTCTACTACCTCGTCAACTGTTGACCAATCTAAAGTCGATACGTTAATCTCATTTGGATTTCAGGAAGAAGTTGCCCGAAAGGCACTCAAGGCATCGGTAATTTTCTGCCTTCATACCTCTCTTTGCATTATTACGACTGGGAGAGGTTGAGTAATCGTAAAGGAATGTTAATGATTGCTCTCTAGGGCGGGGACATTGAGAAAGCAACAGATTGGATATTTAGCAATCCTGACGCATCCGTTTCCAGCATGGACGCAACCTCATCAGACACTCCACCTGTTCCGAATGATGCTGTCTTGCCTGATGGAGGAGGCAGTAAGTATCCAGTTTTTGTTCTCTTAATCTTGTTTCCTTGTATTATTACATAGTCCACAACCAGTGGCACCTGAGTACTCTAATGATTTTGTTGCTAACTTTGGTGGTTCTGATTATATTTTTGTGTTGGCATTGTGAAAGGATATCGACTCATGGGAATTATTAGCCACATAGGAACCTCGACGCAGTGCGGACACTACGTTGCCCACATTTTGAAAGATGGAAGATGGGTTATCTTTAACGACAGCAAGGTTGGGGCTTCCATTAATCCTCCCAAAGAAATGGGTTATCTGTATTTCTTCGAGAGGCTCAACAGTTGAATGTTTCCTGCTCTCATGCATTGGCTGCACAATTTTTGAATTCGAGGGTCATCCAGAAATTCAGATTTTTATTTTTATTTTGTTTTCTGGCGCCCATATTACTTTTCTTACAATTACAATTCATGGTCTTCGATTCTCAAAAGTGAAAACCATTTAAAGCAGAGAATTAACGTCGGGGGTTGGTGATAATGTTACTCCTCACAATCTCCCATTTCTGTTGTCTGATTGCCTGAACAAATATTGCGAACTTCACGGATCTGCGCGTGAGAGTTGGATGAATGCACTGCATTTGTTAGTGATTAGTTTGGCATTTAATATTGAAGCCTTCACATGTTAATTATTATTGATTAGTTTGTTAACAATATGAGCCTGGTTTTAATTTGTATATATTTTTAAAGTCATTGTCATTTCATTTTCTTTCACTTGCATGTGATTATCATCGCTTGCCCCAGCTGCCGCCTTTTTACCTGGTTATCATTATCATTACTTTTCGTAATAATATTTATATATTTTTTATTTAAGATATTTTTTAATAAATAAAGTATTATAACAATTTTTTAAACAGTAAGTACATTTTTGCTCAAAAACCGCCCTCTAGGGTGGTTGTTGATGAAAGATATCTTCTTGTTTTCTTCCTGTATCTGTTCTTTTCAGTTATATTATCCCTTTTCATTAAAAAAAAAATCTTTATAAATAAAAGAGAGAATTACAACACGTCTTACACAGATAAATTAATTATTATTAGATTTAATGATAACTGAATTAAGGAGATTGATAAGTAGTTAGTTCAGTTATTATTAAATTTTATAATAATTAATTTTATCTTGTGGATTTTAATGCAATTTTTCTCTAAATAAAGGGGGGAGATAGTATAAAAATTGAGATTTCAATTTCAATATAAAGATTCAGATAAAAAAAAATTCAACTTAAGGATAAAAATCATATAATTTAATGTAGGCCTACTTACTAGAAGGGAAGAATGTAATTAATCAATTTAATCGCCTATGCAATTACGTATTTAGTACTATCTAACTAAATTTGAATATTATTAAATTCAATTGGAATAATTCTCTCAATATAATTTTCTCTCTCTACAATGTTTGAACTAATCACCATTTGTATTTTTGATTCCGCATCCCCACTTTAAACAAGCTAAGCTAGTTCATTATCTGCTCATCAACGATCCACGTCAACATCTCTTCATTTATATACCATTTAGTCAGGAAAAACTCCAAAAAAAAATCCGTTGAGTTATGTATAAAATGGAACAGAGCAGAATAATCGACACAAATCATCAAATGCCAACAAATTAAAACCCACAACACGGCAAAAAATGAATGTTGAATAATTTGCAGTGTTAACGATCTTCCTTCAGAAAGGGAGCACCAGTAGATCAGGAAGAGTACAACTACAAGACGTTGCAACATGTGTTAAACCTATCACTTCGATCGCCGCCGCCGTAACGATCCCACATATTTCTTCTAGATGCTGGAGTGTCAATCTCCAAAGTCGACGGTGGTTGAACCTCAATCTCAGAATTCCCAGACTTCGCTAACTTGCTCTGAGATTCCTCATCCTCAGACATGTCAGAAATAATCTCTATCCAAGTACGAAAGGATATCTCAGAAATCTCTGACGGTCTTCGAATGGACCTTCGGGATGCGTCAAACAAACTTTGTAGAGTGGTGATAACCCTCCGTGATGCCTCTGTATCAGAAGTCGCTGGCTGAGCCTCAAGAGAGTTTCTCGCTAACTCAACCTCTCTGGTGAACTTTTGCGATGCTTCAAGTAGATTCTGTTGAGTTTCATTTGTCTCCTCCAGTGCAGCTTTCAACCCAGCATCAAGTGCAGCGTCAAGTGCAGCAACAAGCCTTCTTCTCTTTTCCTCCTTTCCTAGTTTTCTTGGGATTCCTTGTTCATCCGTTACTTCTTCTGAAGGATCAACCTGTGAAGTAGTTAAAACCTCCTTTCCTGGCCTCCTAGGGATTTCTTGTTCCTCTGTTACTTCTGAAGGATCAACATGTGAAGTAGTAGTTAACACCTCTTTTCCTGGTCTCCTTGGGATTTCTTGTTCTTCGGTTATTTCTGAAGGACCAACCTGTGAAGTAGCAGTTAACACCTCTTTTCCTGGTCTCCTTGGGATTTCTTGTTCTTCTGTTACTTCTGAAGGATCACCCAGTGAAGGAAGTGCCACCATACTTCCAGGTGATTCCCATGGATTTTCTAGTTCATCAGTCACTAAAGGTTCATCATTTTCTACTGAAGAATTACCCTGGGAAGTAATACCACCAGACTTCCAGATGTTGATGGGATTTCTTGATCTTCTGTTACTTCGGAAGAATTACCCTGGGAAGTAAATACCACCATACTTCCAGATGTCGATGGGATTTCTGAAGGATCACCCTGGGAAGGAAGTGCCATCATACTTCCAGATGATTCCCAGGGGTTTTCTAGTTGATCTGTCACTAAAGGTTCATCATTTTCTACTGAAGAATCAAGTATCCATTGGAATTCCGGTTGATCTCTGAACGTTAAGAAAGGATCAGTTGTAATTGAAGTAAATCCCAACTCCTTTAGAAGGCTTATTGTGTCTTCTATTATTTCATCATCTCCTGCTACTGAAGAATCAGACTGTGAGACAGTTACCACCTCCTTTCCAGCCCTCCTTATAAATTCTGGTTCATCTGTTACTGCTAAAGGGTCGTTATCAATCTCTGAAGCAAATGCCATAACATCCTTTCCAGGTCTCCTTGAGGTTGCTTGATCATCATCTTCTAATGTTAGAGAATCATGATGATGATCATTCTGTGTACTGGATGATGCAACCTCCTTTCCAGGTCTCCTTGGAGTTGCTTGATCACCATCTTCTAATGTCAGAGAATCATGTTGATCATTCTGTGAACTGGATGATGCAACCTCTTTTTCAGGTCTCCTTGGAGTTGCTTGATTATCATCTCCTAAAGTATAATGGTCATTCTGTGAACTGGATGATGCAACCTCCTTTCCAGGTCTCCTTAGATTTGCTTGATTATCCTCTTCTAATGTCAGAGGATCATGATGATCATTCTGTGAACTAGATGATGCAACCTCCTTTGCAGTTCTCCTTGGAGTTGATAGATTATCATCTTCTAATTTTAGAGAATCATGATGATGATCATTCTGTGAACTGGATGATGCAACTTCTTGTCCAGGTCTACTCCTTATTAGAGTTGCTCGATCATTATCTTCGAATGTTAGAGAATCATGATGATGATCATTCTGTGAACTGGATGATGCAACCTCCTTTCCATGTCTCTTAGGGATAATTGCTTGTTCATCATCTGGTGCTGCTTCTGGAGAATCATCATTACCATTATTGCGTGAAGTTGATGCCTCATCGTTGTTGAGTCTCCTTGGTTCAGCACGTTCAACAATAATGTTCTTGGCACTAATCATTTGTATCAGCTCGCACACACAGACACAGGGTGACCAGCCCACCTGGAATCACAGAGCAAGCTTGTCATGTGATATGTATAACTAATTAATCACTCGACAATAGATCAATATGAATGATGTATCAATACACTTTTGGATATAATTTTCTTACATCGTTCACAAAGTCTTTGAGAAATTCCTTGGTGTACACCATTGCTGTAGCGGCCATTAAACTTGACGCTGCGATCTCAGAATGCCTAAATCGAACTAAGTTGTTATCTTCAGAAAGAAGAAAATATAAAATTAGACTTAACCTACGTTTAGAATAGCTAAATTAAAGCAAGTTTTAAACTATATATATCTATACATCATAATGTTCAGAGATCAGAACATGTTGCATTTGTAATGTGAGTACTGAGTAAGTTTATACAAGTACCTGTTTGAGCTTGGAAAATGATGTTAGTAACGGAGCTCAATTTGAATCCTCCAAGTTCTTTATATCTAGGGTAATAATATTGCAGAAAGGAGAAAGGTGTTATACAACACAGTCGCCAATTAATTCCATTGAGAATCTCACGCTCCACTTTCTCCAGAGTTGCACGACTAACAATGCGCTCTAGTCCTTCAGCTTCCTAATAATCAACGAGTAAATCAGTAGAACACAAGACTTTGCAAATCTGCTATTTAGATTTACACCTAATGCATGATGCGAAGAAGCACATTAATTAATTAATTTATACCTTAAAATCTGTCACACAAAAGTCGTCGTCCCTCATCTTGAAAGCAATGACGAGACAACATATAGCAGTGTAGAAATTATTTCTTCTACCCGAAGGCATTGGGTTCCTTGAAATGTAGCGATCATAGTAATTCATGGCCAGATAGGGAGCATATACATCGTAATTTCGATCCATCGTACACTGCAATAACAACATGCATGCACCAGAATGTAACGTGTTTAGTAGAAACAGAATTCTTACGTAAAAGTAACTAACACAGATAATCAGATCTTCTGTTCATGCTAGTAACCACAAGTTTTAGCACACCAGAAAGGCCAGAATCGCGTTATCTAGCGCAGACGCGGAGAGTAAATGAAAAACTGGAATTGATGAATGCAAAGACTGCTCCGTTCTTATTTCTTCCAAGGAAAGCTAAGAGGCAAGTGTATATATATGTAGATAAATAGTTGCAAGAAACTAAAAAGAATGAAACTTTGTTTCCCTCATCTGTCTGTGTTTTCTCAGTAGCCAAACAGAAACATGAGTTCAGAAACGAAATCGCAATACAACCAAACTAAAGAAAGACGACAAACATCAAAATTAAACGGTGCACTGTCTTGAAAGATTATCGTGAAAGAAGAAATAACGAAGAGGATTGATATACCTGAACGATTATAGTGAGTGCTTCGGCTCTCATGTCACGAAGTTGGGGATCGTCCAAGAAGTCTGGAAAGGGCATGAAGTCAAGTTCTTGAGCAAAGTAATTGAGCTCTACAACTTCGTTATCTGGACTGGCATGGCATGGAAACTCATCAGGATCAAAGTCCATTGTTGGAATAATAGTTAATTATGATGGAAAGGATGAAAAGCGATAGAAATCTCTCTAGGTGTCGAATCTGTTGTTCAAGGATTCTTCGTATTTCTCTCTTGGTTTATAATGAATTGTCAGAATGATTAGTTAATGTATAGTTGGTTCGTTATTTCGTATCAGAGAAGTAGAGATACAAAACCGGCTTCCCTGTAAACCTTCAACACGTGTTTTGCATGCTTCTCTCTTTAGCTTCTTCAGAGTTAAAATTATTTAGGAAAACTGACAATAAAATCACTCAAGATTATATAAACAATAATTTCATCTCTCAGAATATTATCATACTGAAATTTTTAAAATTTTTATGTCAATAAATTTTAAAGTGAAAAGATAATTTTATCCTTATTAAAAAAAAGTTCTAATCAAAACTTTTATTTAAAAAATAATAAATTTTATTCTATAAATTGTAAAAGTTAAACAAAAAAATTACTTATTTAGTGTAATTTTTATTATTAAAAAATAAGTCTCAATTACCATTTTTGCTTAAAAAATGGCAACATTTGTTCTATGCATTGTAGAAGTTGAATAAAAAATTATAAATTATCAAGTGTAATTTTTATTATTAATAAAAAAAGTTCTCAAAATAATAAATCTCAATCATAATTTTTATTTAAGGAATAATAATTTTTATTCAAAGAATAAAAAAATTAAACGAGAAATCACAACTTATCAATATAATTAAAATAAATTTTTTACTTTAAAATTTATTGACACAAAATTTTTTAAAACTTCAATGGAATTATCACATTTTGATAGATCGAATTATTATTTATATAATTTAGGAGGATTTTAATGTAATTTTCCTAATTATTTATTGTTATTATTTACCACCATTATAAAAATCATGAGACTGTAAACAATGTTATATACTCCCTCCATTCAAAAATGTAAGATATTTTTTAAGGAGTTAGATATTAAAAATATAAAGCATTTTTAGTCTTTTGAAGTGTAATCATTGTTTTTTTTTTAAAGTGCCTCTATTGATAGTGAATTTATATTTATTATAGGGTATTTAATAGGAATAAGTATAGAAAGATAAGGTTAGTTTGAAAGTAGGTAATTACTTTATTAGGAAGTGAGATTCGATTCAAAATGCCTTATATTTTTAAACGAAAAGAGTATATATATATATATATATATCATAATTTATATTTTGAGTGAATTTTCCTATGCTTCTGTTTTTTCTTTTGAGAAAATTACATTAAACTTTAACATAAAATTAATTTTCAATATCTAAGTTCCTGACAAAATTTTATGAAAAAAGTAAATATTAATTAAGAGAGTAGCAATTTAAAAATAAAAATCACAATTATAAAGCAAGAGTTGTGTTTAAAATTTAAATATTTTATTTATAATTAAAGCTTTTGAATTTATCATTATTTGAATTAAATTTACAACTTATTTTTTAAAATTTTTTATCAATAACCTAAATGTCCTTAATTACCTCTTTTTGAATCTAACTACCATTCTCCATTTTTAAGCATTTTATATATGGAAATTAGATAATTTCTTGGGAGAATTTCATTATTTTATACCCCATCTATTTAAAAATATAAGGTATTTTTAGTCTTTTGAAATGTAATTATTATCTTTTTTTTAAAAGTGCTCCTATTGATAGTGACTTTATATTTATTATAAGGTGTTTAATAAGGATAAATATGAAAAGATAGAGTTATTTAAAAATAACTAACTACTTTATTAAAAATAAAATTAAATTAAAAATATTTTATATTTTTAACAGAGTGAATATAAGTTTTTCATTGTATGACTGTAACCAAAAAATATCAATGGCTTTGTGGATATATTTCTTTTGGGCGGTAGTTTGCTCTGGATCTGGATCTCTCAGCGACCAAACCCCCGGCATCCCTCAACATTCAAATCTAGTCCATTTAAATGATTAAAATCTGATCAATACACATATCACATGGCTATTAAAAATATATATAAATAATTTATTTTTAAATAGTAAAAAATATTTTGAAATATCATATATGGATAAAAATAAATCAGACTTAAGCTGGATTTTGAATAAATAGGCTTAGCCTATTCCGTAGAAACAAGCCTAATTATAAATTTAAACATATTTTTTTGGTTAAACAGATCATATCAAAATTTAAACAGGACTATATGTCTTTGTAGCTCTATTTATTTATTTTAATATAATTAAATTTTTTGTTAAATGAGCCTGACCTTACTTGCAAAAACATATAGTTTGTTTTGTTTAAATTTTAGTTTGGTCAGTTTAACAAAAAGACCATACTTAAATTTATAATTAAGCTTATTTATATAAATAAGCTAAACATGGTTATTTAAATTTTGGTCTAAGCTTGACTTATTTTTATTCATAGATGATATTTCAAAATATATATTTTTTCCATTTAAAAATAAATTATTTATATGTATTTTTAATAGTCATGGTGCATATATTGATTAAATTTTGACCATTTAAATGGATCAAATTCGGACGCTGAGGGATGCTGTGGGTTTTTGGCCACTGAGGGGACCCGGTTCCACTTTGGTCCAACGAACGGTGGTGGGCTCTGGCGAGTTTGGATGAGAGCCTTTTTTTTTTTTTAATAATTGAAGGGCATTTTGATATTTCTCAATAAAAGATAATTTCAATTTAATTTTTAATTTTTGCAGTGTAATTTCAGAATCCGTCTTAATTTGAAGTAAATGTTCAAATTTTACAGTAGACTAATGAAATTTTCACTAATTTCTTAGCTCCGGTTTGCTGCAGAGTAAAAAACTCGCATTTCTTTTTCACCCACCATCTCAGAATTCTTAGAATTTGTTGAACCTGAATGGGCCTATTTGAATAAAAAAGACCCAATCAAAATAAATCAAAAAAGTTCGTATACAATGAGAGGGGCAATTTGGGTTAAGCTTTGACCAGTTCAAGGTCAGGCTCTCAAATAAGTCAGCGGACAACCTGAATATCCGCAGATACAATTTTTTATTTTTGGAAAAAAAAAAAAAAAAAAAGGAAGTGCTCTCTCGCTCGAGTCTCCCGGCCACACCTGACGCCGCACTGCAGCTCTCGCCTTCGCCTTCCGCTTCACACTCCGCTCAGGAGCTTCTCCTTCTCCCTTCTTCAGCAACGACGACCGTCTTCTCTGGTCGGCGCTCAGGCTTCCATCTTCGTCCTTCTTATTTCTTCGCTTGAAGTTGCGTTCCACATCATGCGTCCTCTTCTTCCTCCTTTCCCATGTTCACTGTTCAGCCGTTCCTGCAAGTGTTCTCCTACTCGGCACTCATAGTCAAAGCCTCACTTTTCTCTTCTTCCAGTTCAGCGGTTTCACGCACTCTAGCTCGTCACTCGCCTCCGATCTTCAGCAAATTGTGACCCTTAAAATATCTTTTTCATATCGTTTAATTATCTTTCGCTCCAATTTATATCTTTTTCTTTTCTTTTCTTTCTTTCTTTCTTTCTTTTTTTAAATAGCGGTTTGTATCTTTTTCTTTAGCCTTAATAGATCTGCCTTCTTTTGTCCGTTTGCGTTGTTTAGTTATATGTTCACTGTGGAGCCCCATTTAAATTAGAGACTTTTGTTCTGAAATACAATTTCTTCTCAATTCCAATAATCTATAATATCGTTTTCAGGTTAAAAAAAATCATTGAAAATATCTTTTGCACTTTATTCCCAGTGGTTCTTTGTAGCCCTTCCTGTTCAAATCGTTATCCTCATGTTCCCATCTTCATTTTATTTTGTTCATATATATATATATATTAATAAATATTTTATTTTGTTTGTTTGTTCATGTATACTCCCTCTATTTAAAAATATAAAATATTTTTATCTAAATTTTATTTCAATAAAATAGTTATTTACTTTCAAATTAACCTTATTTTTTTATATTTATCCCTATCAAACACTTTACAATAAATATAAAGTCATTATTAATAGCTGTACTTTTAAAAAAAAGCAAAATTACACCTTAAAAGATTAAAAATACCTTATATTTTTAAACATATAACTTTTTAAAAAATACTTTATATTTTTAAACGAAGGAATATTAATTTGCCATTGAAACTAGGTGAAAGCTTTGTCTAATGACTTTGTAATTTTTTAATATTGATATATTTTTTATGATTTATCTGGTATATTTTACTATTTTAGAGTATGCTATTGTGTTTATATTGTTTGAAAAAAATTAATTTTTAAATTGAAAATTGAAATCAGTTCACAAAAATATAAAAAACATATTTTAAAAAAGTTCTAAGTATCTAAGCCAGCCTGAATAAACTCGAAATCTAAAAATATTAGGGTCAAGTTTGATTATATGAATTTTTTTTTTTATAGAATAAGATGCTTTAAACTCGGTCTATTCAAATTACCGGCTCTATACAAATTGTTTATTCGGTCATATAAATTTTTTTTTTTGAAAATCACAAGGAGGCCTTGCACAATAGATTTAATTATCAATATATCCCATAAAATGTATACAATAGCTCAAGTTTTAAACACTGCACATTTACAACTTAACAAATGTCATTTATAATTAGGTAGAGAAAAATGACAATTTAAATATGATTTTAATAGCAAGTTATAAGTACCTTTGTAAAGTTATAAATGTGCAATATTTGAGATTTATAAGTATTTTATACATTTGATGAAAATTCTTAGTAATTAATTTCTTTTTTGAGATGTTTGTATAATTTTTCCCCTTTCTTTCTGTACCTATTCATCTCAAACTTTCCGGCCGAAATTTCTTCAACTTTGCAATTGGCATGCTATGCTTTAAACCTGACGCATAAGCCATTTTTAATACTTGGTTGTTCACGCTTCCCAGAATAAGAATTATTTGAAGCCGATGCCCCTTTTTGTTATGTCCAGAGATCGATGGATCATACATGTAGAGTCATCGCTGTTCAGAATAAGACACTGTATTTAAATTCAATAACTGTGTTTAATACTACATGTACTCAATATCTGTATTAACTACAGTCATTGAATCTAAATTTATAAAGCATCAGATTTATAATCTTGTCACCACCAGATCTACCAAGTTAATAACCAGATTCCTCTAAATTAAATTTTACAAATATATAAAGTCTTCAGATGTAATATCCCCTAGTTACTTCTTCATACGCTTAATAATGACAAGAAGAAACTTCTTTATCCACTAGTCACGGATTGCAGGATGCTCTCTATCATATCCTTGTTCATGTCGTAATTCAGATCCAGCTAGATCCAGCTAATTAAGGCCGTTACAGAGCAAGATTGTTCCAACGTTATTCTATATTCACAATGGATTCATCTTTCAGTGGTTCACAAGGCAGAGGTGAACTGAAAATCCAGCCAAGTTCTGTTCCTTGTGAGTACAATTATGATTATCATCAAGAGATTATCAGAATACAAAGACTACACAGCAATATCCTTGTTAACATTGCAAATCAGAGAGATCCACCAACTTATCGGCACTTTCTTCCATTCCCAATGTACATGCAAATTAATTACATACCATGCCCTAACCAAATTCTAGCGATTCAATCACTACATAACAGGCAGAACCTGTCTTCTTTTCTTTGTTTTTTTTTAAAATCATATAGGCATGAACAAAACTGGAGGAATGATAGATTGATTCAGCACAAGGGATGTGAGATCTTTTCTCGGCACCAGGAAGTCATCTTTCAAGAGAATCAGAATCTGGTGGTACTAGGACCCCAGCAATTCATGTCCATGACTTTCTTCATGCGCTCCTCCTTGCTCCTCCTGACCTGGTTGGAAACAGCAGCAGCAGAAGAAGCCGACAATTTCTTGGCCTGGCTATAAGATCTGAGATTGTTCTTGGCGTGCTGGACCAAAGACCTGACAGGATGATTCCACCTGCAAACCCCTAATTGATCTTTCAATGCCTCTACGGCTCCGATGCTTGAAGCCACAATCCAAGCCCTCCTTCCTGAGCTCATGATCGCTTAGATTTCGGATGAAGAAGATGAAATTGGGAATTGTAAAAGAGAGTAGTGAGGTTGAAGTAAAGGTGAGCCTGTGTTGATTTGATTGTGAAGATGGTGGTGTGAGGTTTGGTGTATATATATGGAGGTAGATTGAGTGGAGAATCCGGAGGCTGTGTGAGCTGAAAGTTGGGAAGGGAAGGCAAAACCGGGGGCGGTAAGTGGAAAGGCTGGGAAGAGAGAGTCGGTTTCGCAACGGTTTCCAGCTCGCAACATGCACAAATTCCGCGGCTTTGGGTATTCCCTAGCCTCTGGAATTATAAATTAAGCCAATGGGTTTTGCCTTTTTGCGTGTGGTTTCGGAATACAAACCTGTAGTCTCGATTCAAAGGACGGTTTCTGATATGTTGACAACTATGGATGTGAATTATTTCCTCGCTCGATGTTTAGTTTACTACAAGATAGAGAATTTTTTTTATTATAATATTTTTAGTCTTCATTACATATTAGTAAAAGAAAGAACATTATTAAAGTATGCTTTTAAGAGAGATAAAGCTAAAAACTTAATAAATATTTAAAAAAATTAATGAGTTTTAAATTTTTAAATTATGATAAAATATGTTAAAAATAACTTGTAAATATAACTGAAAAAAGCACTTAACAAATTCTAAGATGAATATAAAAGTTTTACTTATGATATTTAAAATAATATTAAATATTAAATATAGTTGCTTCCTCCCATCTTAATTGTAAGATAGAGAGAGATAAATTTTTTTATCTTATTTATAAATTATGTCATTAAATTTTTATTATAAATATTCTCTACTCCCTTCATTAAAAATATAAGGAATTTTTTTATAAGTAGGACATTTAAAACATAATTCATTTTTAATATTATAAACTGTAATTAATGTATTTTTTAAATAACTTTAATAAATAAATTACTTTATATTTATTTTTAAGCGAAAATTATATTGAATAATGGTAAATATAAAAAGATATTATTATTTTGAATATAGTTAACTAATTTATTAAAAAAATTTAATTAAAAATATCTTATATTTTTTAATAAAAAATATTTTATTAATTATTGATAAAAATATTGTGTTATTAAAACATAACATTTATTATTTAATAAGGATAAAATTATAAATGAATTAAATTTTAAAAATTTTCTTATGGGCAGGGCAAATTATCCCTGATTATTGCTTATTTAAGAAATACTTAAATAAATTAAGTGTATCATGTCATTTATAATTTTTTTAATTAAAATTACTTAAAATATTTTAATTGAATATTATATGATGCACATGATTTTTCTAACTATTTTTCTCACTATCTTACCGAAGCGAAGGAGCTTGACAGGGTTATCAGCGCAGGATGGCGCCACCTTTAGAATCAATGAATCTCATCAAAAAAGAATCAAGCCAAAAGAATTAGAACACGGCTGGATGGCTGAGGTATGTGGGTGTTTTATTTTTGATTTGATGACTTTGCCAGCGGAAACATCGTGCTCGTGAGGTGATGATAACGATATTAATTATTAGGCGACACTGGGTTTGGACATACAGGGGACTATTCCTTATTGTAAACTGACTCTAACTTGACGCAATGACGTTGTAGTCCGTTGGAGCAAGTTAACACTTAACAGTAGCGCCGCAGAAGACTCTCCGAAGCTTCCAGGTCTCCCCAGAGTCCAAGTTCTTGTGTTTGCTTCTCCGCGTTTTTTGATGGGCCTAGGCCCATACCCCAATATGGAAGCCCATTTCTCTGTACTGTTTCCCTATTGGTAATTACAATGAAGCTATGATATCTTTGAAACAAAGTTTCCATAAAATACAATTGACTTGAAATTTCAAAATGATTTTAATCTCATCTAAATATTAGAATGGGGTCTATTTAGTAGCTAAACGGCTTATCAGGTTCGTTTTCATCAAAACTCTACTATTTGAAATAAATCCTAATACATTAAAAAAATGTCTTTGAATCAATGGGCCATTCAGCCCAATACTGATACCATCTTGTTTTTTGATCTTTATCCGAAAAAATTAGTAGATAGATGGAGTGATCATATCGACAAATAGTATTAGTTCATTATAAAACTGAAAAAAAAAAACAACCAAAAATAGTAAATTCGTTTTCATCAAAACTCTACTACTTGAAATAAATCCTATTACATTAAAAAAAAAAGACGTGTTTAAATCAATGGGCCTTTCAGCCCAAGAGTGACACCATCTTTTTTGATCTTTATCCAAAAAAAAAACATAGATAGATGGATTGATCGATAATCGACAAATAGCATTAATTCATTACAAAAATGATAAAAAAACATACAAAAATAATAAATTCGGTGATCATTGGCGCCGAGTAATTAATCACAACATTGGCCCAAAAACTGAGAATGGGGCTGAGTCGTTTTCGAGCCAACCGATCGCGCATGGGCCATAGGAGTTATTGGCACAGATAGATTTGAAGGGAATAAATTAATTTAAATTAAATCTTAATTAATTTTAAAATGTTAAATTTCAAAAACTTTGCAATTCAACTTTTAATAATGAATTTTTAATTCTTTTTGTTAAAATTTAAAAATAAATTACAAATTTATTACTCCCTCTGTCCTAATTAATAGGACACTTTTAAAAAAAATTTTTGTCTCAAAATATAAACACTTTAAATATATTAAGGTTTCATTAAATATATTAATTTTAATATTATCTTTTTTCTTTCTATAATTAATTTATATTCTTTTTCTTTTTAATATATTAAATTATGAATATTTTTAAAAATTTATATTTTTATTTTAAAAAATAAAATTATTAAATATATTTAATAAGACTTATTGATTAATAAAATTTTAACTAAAAATATTTTATAATTTAAAATGGGGGAGTATAATAAAAATATAAATTGAAAGTCAAAATTCTTAAAGTTTACCTCTTCCGATTCTATTTATAAGTCATTTTTACTAATCTCATCAATACCAATATAATAAAAATATAAAGAATAAAAATAAGTAAAATTTTAAACATATTACTTTATAATAAATCTAACAAGTAATGTTTTATTATCTTTTCTCTTTCATAAAGAATAATTTTAAAAATATTTTTTAAATATTATTTAAAATAATATATCATGATTTATAAATAAAATTAAATAAATTTTTTAAAATGTTACTTATAAACCGAAAGGAGTACACTTCTAAATGATCGAGAACTAATCTAAATCAATCAGTTTATCAGCCATTCTCCCGAACGCCGTTGCTATTACTGTCAGGGTATCGGAAGCACAAAAATCTGAACCTGACGATCCTCGTGGGTATCGGTGGCTCTTGGATGTCTCCGCCATGATGAGAGACTGCTAGCGGCGGTGAGGACTACCTTGCGGTGGCCGCCGGAGAAGATGATATTCCGGGCACCCGTTTCTTAGTAAAATGCCGGCTATTGTTCCCTGCCACCTTTGCAGTTTCGAACTCACTGTGTCAAGATCCACACGGCCATGTCTAGGTTATTCCCTTCAATAATCTTCTGTTTGGAAGCTGTAGTTTTCAACTTTTGCTTGAATCTATTAATTTTCAGCGAATAGACCCGTCTGTATCTTATCTGGACCTTTTATAAATGACATTTATGTCAAATAAGCATTGCCAGTGTTTGTTCTTGTTTCTTATCATCTTAATACCCATATGTTCATTGGAGGGGACTTACTTTTGAACTGAAGAAGTGTTTTTGTTATCTCCATGAGGCAGTAGATTATGGGCAGGGTGGCATGCTATTTTTTGCCCTGTGTAGAAGTGTACTTATTAATTTTCCCTCTTGTTTTTATCTGATTTAGTTTGCTTGTGAATTTTTTTCCTTCTTTCTTCTTGCGTGTCAAAGAAAGTTTGGGATTTCTGTTCTATTTCTCTCTCTCGCGATTTTGTTTGGGAGGAAATTTTTGTTTAGAATGCATTTCGTTCTTGGCCGTAACTACTTTCTTGTGTTTGTTCCCTATTCTCACTCCTGCGTTCGCTTGCATTAGTGCTTCGTATACTGATTTCAAGTTTAAGAAAAGAAATGGACTACACCAAAGATGCACTTTACGGGCAAAGGGATTTGTACAGGACAGATATTGGTAGTATATGAATCAGTAAACCTCTGTTTATGAGCTATAGTTTCCAGTTCTTGTCGAATTTATTAATTTTCAGCAAATAGCAACCCATCTAGCATATGGGGACCATTAATAAATGACTTTCTGTCAAATAGGCATGTCTGTGTTGGTTCTTGTTTCCTGATGAGTTTTCTTTTCCCCTGTTTTTCCTCTGTTTTCTTATCATCCCAACTCATAACTTCATTTGACTGGACATATTTTTGAATTTGAGATATGTTTTTGTAATCGCTATGAGGCAGTAGAGTATACACAGTGTGTCATGCTGTTTCTGGCCCATTGTTGGTAGAATTGTAATTTTTGTGGTCCTGATTTCTTCTTACATGCCAAAGAAAGTTTAGGATTTCTGGTTTATTTTTCTCACAATTTTATTTGAAGGGAAAGCTTTGCTTAGAATCCATTTCATTTGTAGCTGTAGCTGCTTTCTTGTGGTTGTTCCCTATTATTACTCTGCATGCATTGGTTTCATTGTATACTGATTATGATTTCTTTTGAAAAAGAAGAAATGGACTACATCAAAGATGTTCCTCTACAGGAAAAGGGTTTGTGTGGATATTGTTAGCATTTGAAAGGTTACATATGAATCAAGACTAGTCCAATTGTTAGCTTGAGTTTCATTAATTATGCATGCATGTACGTGTGCACTATTATGCATACAAGCTCAATGGCTATGCAATGGAACCCTTTACCTGTAAAGTCCTTGGTAGCTCATGGACAGTGCTAAAGCGTTCAGTAATTGACATTTTTTTTTTATATTGGCCACAATTTTCATTCCAGATTGAATGAATGAAGCTCTTGTATTTGATACCTCTTGCGTTCAGAGTGGATGAGTTTATGCTACTTTGCATGAGGATGGTGCTGATGGTTGGACTTTGGAGTCTTAGAGTGAAGAATAGCTAGGTTCTCCTGTTTCAGAAGTTAAACTGGACCAGTTTTGTTCTTGTATTATAGTGCTCGCCACTTAAAAATTTGCAGAAGGACTAGATAAAAAGGTTCTACAGCAACAAATGAACTTTGCAACTGAGAACTCTCATTTTGGTGAATGAAAGCTGACGTCATTATTATAAGTTTAGAACTCCTGGCTTAGTTCTTTTTACTAGTTTCAAATCTAAATTTTTGGCATTCTGAATGTCCTTCTTAATGCAGCTGTCTGTTTGAATTCATCTGTTTGCTGCTTGTTTCTGTTGTATTTTACTTTCAATTTTTCTGCATTCTTTTTCTGATTGATCACATGAAAGAAGCTTTACACAATTTAATGTGCAGATTTCTTGGTTGTGGAAATGTTAAAAGGTTTGCACATTCTCTTATCCAAAAACAGAAGACTAGTTGCTGGGAAGTGTTTAATATTGGGCCACATTGTACAGGGGGATCCCCATTCTCAGCGTACAGATCTTCTTTATACTATAGACTTATATTAAAAAAAAACTTTTTGACAAGTGGCAAAGCAAGGAACTTCTGCGCCTTTAAGGAAAATAATGTAAATAATCAGTGTGCTCAAGTTGTTTGGAGCAGGATTTCTCAAATATATTTCCATACTGTGCCAGCTCTACCACCAATAGGTCAAATTGCCCGTGCAGTAAGTCTGGCTTTGTTCCGATCAAATGTTATTGTGCCTGGTGTTGTTTTTTTCATAGCAGGAGAGCTTTCATGGACACATCAGACGTGGGCAGAAGCAGAATCCTTCCCATCAAGGGAAATTCTGTACATGCACGCACAAGATGGACAGTTATACTTGGCCACTGCTTTGTTCAATGTCCTTGAGATTTTTATCTTGTTTTTCAGGGCTATCTATTTGTTAATTTTGTTCTTACCTTGCATAGCTATATCTCCGTTTGTGGACTTTGGTGGTGTCAATTTTAGGAAAACATGGATTCATTTTGTCCGCCTTACACTGGAAAAAGCTGGCTCAGCATTCATTAAATGGGGTCAGTGGGCTGCTACAAGACCAGATCTCTTTCCTAAGGATCTTTGTTCTGAGCTGGCAAAACTTCACACGAAAGCACCATCACATGAATTTTCATATAGCAGAAAAAGCATTGAGAATGCATTTGGTCGCAAATTGCATGAAATTTTTGAGAACTTTGATGAGGACCCTGTAGCATCAGGTAGCATTGCTCAAGTTCATCGAGCTACACTTAAATACAGATACCCTGGTCAGCAAATCAAACCTGTTGTTGTTGCAGTTAAAGTCCGGCATCCAGGTGTTAGTGAAGCAATTAGAAGGGACTTTATCATCATCAATCTTCTTGCCAAGATTTCTAGGTTCCTTCCTAATTTGAAGTGGTTGAAATTAGATGAAAGCTTACAGCAGTTTGCTATTTTTATGATGTCTCAAGTTGATCTTTCAAGAGAAGCAGCTCATTTAAGTCGATTTATCTATAATTTCCGGAAATGGAAGGATGTTTCATTCCCAAAGCCGTTGTACCCTCTAGTACACCCATCTGTTTTAGTGGAAACCTATGAACATGGTGAAAATGTATCGTACTATGTTGATGAGCTTGAGGGACATGAAAAATTCAAAACTACCCTTGCTCATATTGGAACTCATGCTCTTTTAAAGATGCTTCTGGTAAAATATTTAGAATCCTGTCTTGTTTTTTTTTATTAGATTGTTCTTAACTAAAGTATTATTAAGTGATCGCTTGTCACAGAATGATAATGCGTCCTTAATCTATTTTACTTAGATTGCATGTACAGTGTGTGTATGTGTGTCATATATGTGTAAATTTCTTTGGACACGAGAAGTTGTACCAGTAGAAAATAGTCTACCCTTCACGTCATTTGTGAGGGAAGAATCATGATTTGATATTGACGATTTTCAAACTTCTGTTAATTTTCTAATTTCTTTATGAATGACATAAGGCATCATGAAGTTCCAGCATTTCCTTTCCCTCTATGGTTAGAAGTTGCAATACCTGATTATTTCTTTTTTAATGATTTATAATTAAACATTTGAGTGAAATAATTGATGGTACAGGCTTATATATTTGTCTTCCTCCAGGTGGATAACTTTATCCATGCAGATATGCATCCTGGAAATATCCTTGTCCGCAGAACACAGAGCAGATCATCACAGATGCAGCTCTTTAAATCAAGGCCTCATGTTGTTTTCCTTGACGTTGGCATGACTACTGAACTCTCCAAGAGGGAGCAACAACACTTACTGGAATTCTTTAAGGCTGTTTCAGTTTTAGATGGTCACCTTGCTGCACAGTGTACTCTTAAATTATCTAAACAACAAAGTTGTCCTGATCCAAAATCTTTCATTGAGGTATTATCATTTGAATACTGTTTCAAATTTTGCATTCCTTTTTCATTAGCAACTTACCTTCTTACTAGTTTAAGTCAGATATGGTATTGCATTTACATTCATGACATGATGTCATATTATATAATATAATCCAATGCTTGAAGCACTGCCATTTATGCAACCTACGAGTTCTGATTGGTGATTTGAACATTAGTTATCTATCGATACTTTGACCTTTTTAATATATACACTTGCATTGGTCTCAAACTAATAGTTAGGCCCAAGTTTTAGATTTATCAACGGTCAACTCTAATTTCTTGTAGAGCTTAGGTACGAATGTGACTTCAACATCAAAAAATATATGTCAATTGGATGCTCACAGTCATTGTTAGAGTGTAGTGAGTCTGTGCATCAGCAAACAGATTATACATGATCTTTGAGACAATACGGCAAGTGAAATTAGATGTTTTTTGAAAAAATATTTTGATTTTGATAAATATAATACTTGTGCTCTGATGGAAACTCAAGGGTTCCATCTTAAATGACAAGAAAAAATGGAAGATAACATATAAATCTTATCACTTTTGAGGGTTGGAGACTTCGAGTCCCTCCACAATATTCCCACCTCTCTTCTTAATTTTAATTTTCTGTTAGCTCCTGGAATTTCTCCTTAGATAGCCTTCAGGGTCCCTCTATCTCCTAGATATTTCCCAATCTGTTCCACTCATTTCTCATTTGGGAATCCCATCACGCTGTCTCTGCCTGTTATAGGGTCCATAGCTGTGTAGTTACTTTTATTGGTGTAGACCATAATTACATATACTTTATGTCATCTCCCAAGAAATTGAATTGTAAAGAACTTTTGCCTTTGACAGGATGTTGAGAAATCATTTAACCTCTGGAAGGTAGAAACCTATCACCCAGCTGACTGTATGCAGCAATTGCTTGAGCATGTTAGGCAGCATAAAGTCAATTTAGATGGCAATATATGCTCTGTGGTGGTGACCATGTTGGTTTTGGAGGTACGTTCTGCCTCTGATTATGTCAATACGACCCTCTCACCCTTTAAAGTGATGAATGCATGACGACATGTGACGTGTTCACCCACCCTAAGCAACCAGCAACTGTTATATGGTTGAAAGTTCACGCCAAGTTACTTTTGTTGTCACAACAATATTATATGGCAAATCTGAATGAACTCTTAAAATTTTAAATGACAGATAGTGAAGACCATTATAGTGCCCCATGTTAATGTTCATTGTGTGATGACTTATGAAAAATGCTGTTGCTATTAAAGATCATAAAAATCCACTTGAAGATGGAGAAACTCTTTCTCAGTTCTCATCATCTGACTTTGCCACTTTTAGATTGCCTTCTGGTTTCTGAAAATTATATCCGTGAAGATTACCCTGAAACCAAAAACTTTTATGTTCATTGATGTTTGAGCAAAAGCAGTCTGTTCATTAATTCTAGACATACGAGGTAAGGGGGAAGATGATGATTTTCTCACCTTTTTTATGGATAAAAGAAGTATCAATAGCACAATAAAAGCAGTGTGTTCATTAATTCTAGATATGTAATATGTATTGTGTTGCATTCCCGAAGGGTAACGAATTCCTCTTTGTCAAATGAAACATCCTAATCATCATCATTAAGCAATTCTTCAGTTTCATCCTCATCTTGTGAGGTTTCCATTTGGTCATCAACCTTGTCAAGAGCACTAAAGAATTGCCCTCTTATTGTGCTAGGGATACGATTTATGAAATCAAATACTAAATCATTCAATACTGATTGTGCAAAGATAAGCCGAAGGACTCTTGAACAATAGCCTTTGACAATCTCTTAGAGCTCTCGTTGCTTTCAGTTGCAAAAGGTCCTTGATATTTTTCAAGGGTCCTTATTTTCTCCCTATTTACATTTAGCATTAGTTACAGCCACACAGAGACAGCTTCTGTGGTGTGGTGCCAAAAGCCATTGTGTTTAGCTGCAAGCTACTTTGCATTATTAATAATTATGCTTTAGAGCTTTGGCCTGTTTTTCATTCTGAGCCTTTCATGAACTAATTTTGTTGCATTTTGTTCCTCTTTCCTTTGTAGGGGTGGCAGCGCAGACTTGATCCAGAATATGATGTGATGCGCACTTTGCAGACACTGCTTTTTAGATCTGATTTGGCAAAGTCACTGTCTTACACCATCGAAGGACTGATGGCTCCGTGAATGATGGTCACTTGATGGTCACTTGATGCCGCACACTCCCCCACCCCCCCCCCCATTTTTTTTTTTTTTTGAGGATGCTAGTTGAAGTAGAGTGTAAATGAAGTGTACTTAGGTTAGGAACATTGTCTACAATTTTTAAGGTTGTTAATTTGTTTCTGATAGTATGTTGAGAGCTTGGCCCCAAGCTGTTCCTAACCATTTCTTAGTCACCCCGTTAACTCATGATGTCAAGAAAAACAGCCAACCAGAATAATCCAAGAAAAGGGATGTACATCCCATGGAATGATTCTTTTTCCACTGCTTACTTTGTGTTAACGAGTGTAAGAGAGCTTGTTGAGCAACAAGTTTCACATTATGATGCGTTCCAGTCCATTTCCTCATATGAATTCATCTTGTAGTGTATGGTTAACACGTTTTGAAACTTTAATTGCCTCAATTAGAGGAACATCCTTATGAATAGTAAATAACATCTTATGCTTCTTTCCTTGATTTGAGAGATTTATTCATAGATTTGCATGGCATTGCTTGCTGACGAGTGGCTGAAGGAAAGGACAGACACTAAGATGTGAAACTGAATTAATGCAAGTTTTAAATAAAATCGAGCAAAATATTTGTATGAACGTTTACATAATTCTAATAAAATTCAGACAGGATTTATGTAAGGTAGTTCTAACATTCAGAAATGAGAGAAAATGGACTTGTTTGGAAGAAATAATTATGTGTAAGAACGAAGAGCAACTGTTTTGCAAGAAATATATAGACACTTACTTTGACCATGCATAAGACCAAAAAACAAAATGATTCTTTTCAACAAGATGTAGATTGAATAAGATTTAATCAAGCCCACCAGGGAGCATCTCCAGTTCTGAAATCAGTTTCAACCCATGGAACAAACACCACTTTGCCATCATCAACATCTGCATGTGCCAATGCCAGAGACTGTTGCCAAAAAAAAAAAAAACATACAAACAGACAAATATGTTAGTCCATCATTAAAAAACAAGCACACATATCGATTGAGATGTGTGTTTTGGGATTAAAATTAAGAATCATGAAGAGGGGATTAAGGTTGTTACCAGAGGAGCAGGGCCTCGGACAACCCTGCCTTGGTTGTTGTACTGAGAACCATGGCAGGGACAGATGAACTTGTTCTCTGCTGCGTTCCATGGCACCACACATCCTAAATGCGTACACACTGCGTTGATCCCATAAGTTGCCAGTGTTCTGTCATTCTCCACCACCAGGTACGTTGGATCTCCCTGCATTTATTTATTTATATTTCTATTACTTGAGCTTTTTGGAATTCAAATTCTCTCAAGCCTGTCAAGTTATCATACACAGAATACTATAGAACTTCACAAACTTGATAGGCTCCAGGATTATAGTTTAGTTAATATCTGTCTCCTTTACTGACAAAAAAATTGCCGTCTAATTTGATTCCTCACTTGTCATCGTATTTTGTCATCTAATTCGAGTTTTGAAATGATGTAGTTTCACTTGATTATTAATATACCTGTTTATCTCCAAGTCCCCAGGTCTTGTTCCTAACCATTCAGCATAACAAACGTTCCCCCCATTCTTATTTATAAAGTGTTCAAAACATTTTTCATGTGTTTTAGGAAAAGTTATTATGGTGTTTTTTTTTTTTAAAGAAAATCTCAGCCTCTCAATGATGCCCTTGTTAGTTAAAGAAAGACAATAAATTATCTTGTTATTTGTGCAAATGTTTTTTCAAATTAAAAGAGTGAAGTTTGAAAATCATTTCACCTTTTTATTTGACATTTTATAATTAGATAATATATTTTTTTTTCTATAAAATATTCTCTTCATCTTAAATTATAAAATACTTTAGGGAGATATTTGGCATTCCCAAATATAAAATACTTTAAGAATATTAAAATTTTATTAAATAGATTTACTTTAATATTTTCATTTATTTTGATTTAATTTCTGTCTCTTTTTCTTTTCAATATATTAAATAAAATGTATTTTTAAAATTTTATATTTTTATTTTTAAAAAATTATTAAGTATATTTAATTATGTTTATTAGTATTTAAAATTTTATTTAAAAGTATTTTATAATTTGGGAAATAGGAGTAATTCATACACAGGACCAAAGCAGCAATTACTAATTTGAAATAAGATTAGAGTGAAAAGTGCGATATTAAAATGGGATTACCTTTAAGCCTTGAGTTAAGGTTCGGTCACCAGGACCGTGGGCTTTGAGCCATTCAGCAGCAATGACATCATTTCCGAGGGCGTCCTTCGCTACGGTACCCCCACTTCCACCTCCTGACCTGCTCCACCATTACTGTCATATATTCAGACTCATACAATTTCTGAATCAAAAGAACAATTAATATCAAATGAAAAGGCAGACCCAGGTGGAGCAAAGAAGGTGGCATAAGGGATGAGCATGCCGGCGGTGGGAAGAGAAAGGGCTCCGAGCAGAAGCAGATTCATGAGCTGTCTCTTTCCCATGTCCGGCACTCTGTCGTCTGCCGGTATGCTCGTCGCCTGACACCTCACTCTCCCTCCCCTCTTCTCCTTCATTCCCACATTATTGCTTCTCCTCGCCTTCGCCATTAACGCTTGTGATGATGAACTGCACATCCCATTTTCCCTTGAACTCAGCTGAATCCAATCGTGAGAACCAAAAGAGTTTATATATATATATATATATATATAGGCATGTTAGTCGCTGTATATATGTATGCTTGCGTACCTTACAGGGGGAAGCAGAAGAGACAGTGAAGGCAGCCATGGGAATGGTTGAGAACTGAGAGATGGGAGAGAGAGTGGATTGTACTTTAAGCAAGTTTAAAAGCACGACGAAGAAGATAAGGAGAGGGCGTGCGCTTGATGACTGGAGTGCGGTGAAAGTAGAGAGCCACACGTTGGCTATCAACAAAGAGTAAGCCAATTTGAGGATACTAGTCTACATGAAATATCATATAGGGAAAATTTCATTTATAAGTCCTTAACCATACTTAATGAAAAATGAGGCTTAAAAATTCTGAAATTTCATTTTAATTCAAGGATATTATAGTTAATTAAAATGCCAAGGAAAATCACCTCATTATCTCTCATACTTGTTATAAGTCAATGGACATCTTGATGCAGGGCAATAAACAATGAAAAAATAACAATAAAATTCTTTTGAAATGTATAAATGATAATTTAATCTCTCAAAATATTATAATTTTTTTAAAATTTTTTAAAATTTTTTTATTATTAATAAATTTATATAAATTATCAAATTACTCTTTTTAAAAATAAATTATTCATAAATTTTATTTAAATAATCACAGCTTTTATTTTTATATTCGCAATAATATAATAGAAAATCACAACTTAGTATATTAAATTTTTATTTACTATTGTATTGTTGTGAATATAAGAAAAAAATTATGAATATTTAAACAAAATTTATAAATCATTTATTTTTAACAAAGATAATTTAATAATTTATATAAATTTATTAATAATAAAAAAGTTCTTAAGAACTTTAGGAGAATTATGTCATTTTGAGGATTAAATTATCATTTATATATTTTAGAAAATTTTATTATCATTTTTTCATAAACAATTCATTTTACCGTTATTACAATACAAAATAAAATCAAGATTTAGTAATGTCACAAATAACTCCTATAGATTGATGAACAATTTCATATAGAAAAATGAATAACTTATTTGTTATTACAACAAGTATGAGAGATAATTAGGGAGTTTTCTTTAACATTTTAATTTCACTTCAGCACTCTTAAATTAAAGTGAAATTTTAGAGTTTCTCGGCTCTCTTTTTAATTAAGTGTAGTCATGAACTGATAAATGAAACTTTCCCAATATCATATATCTTTGCTTAAATCACAATAAATGTGCGACACTGCCATTAAATAATTGGGTTACACACAAAAAAAACTTAATTTTAATATTGACTAAACATACATTTAATCTTTTTACTTTATACGATATTTTATTTTAATTTTTTAATTTTATAAAGTATTATTTTAGTCTTTTAATTTTAACAATGTTAGTTTTATCATAAAAAAATTTACACATTAAACTTTCAAATATCAGTTAAAAAAATTGAATGTTGACATGTGAAATTTAATTTTTTTAAATAAAAATGATTGGTACAAGGAATAATAATTTAAAATTAACATAATTGGAATTAGAAGATTTAAAATAGATTTTTTAAAATTAAAAATTAAATTGAAGCTTATAGAAAATTAGAAAACTAAAAATACACTTTAACCTAAATTTTATTATAAGGCTAAAAATGAGATTATTACGTTTTCCAGCCGCACATCTTTCAAATAAATTGAAAATTTAGAATGTTTACATTAGATTAATGGAAAAGAACTTTGTCTGATCCTGAAACTACCTCGCATCCTTCATGTTATGACACTATAAAAATCTTCAAGACGCATCGCCTGACCTAAATTCCACAACCTAAGGGATGAATCTTTTTGCACTTCTAGTTTTCTTTCTTCTTCCCAAAAACTTTTTCCTTTTAATTAATTTGTTCATTAAGCTTGAGAAAGGGACAATTTGAAATACAAATATTATTTTTTAGAAAATGCAGAAGTCACAGGATATGAAATCCACTTGACAAAATGCGAATAGGCAACTTAAAAAATAATTAAAAGAACATCAAAATCCATCAAAATAATTTGTAGGGGATGGCTCATCTTATCTATCCACAGCCCATAGTCGTTGAAGTCAAATCAGCCTGCTTCATAGGTGCGAAAATATATATTTGGAAGAAGATAATGAAGATAGAGACATTTCTTTCACCAGCATTTAGGATATTTTCAAAGATCAACACCTCTAAAAAAAAATTAATTTCTTATTTTAGAAAGATAATAGAGCTACAGCTAGATGGACTACCCTTGATAAAGGATGAGTAAGGTTGGATACTGATAGCCTAATCAACATTTACAGTGCAGCTAAATGTGGTGGTCTTCTTTAGAACAATCAAGGCAATTGGATCAAAAGTTATTCCAAATACTTTAGTTATTATCCTAGTACAGCTGTGGAGCTTATGGACATTTTGAAAGGTCTTTATATTTGTTGGGCTAATAAGTTTAATAAAGTCAATGTCTATAATGGCTCTATAGAAGTTCTTGCTAATCCACAATGAGTTCTACTACCCACCCACTTTTTGAGATTATCCATAAAATCAGAAATCTCACTATGCGAGAATGGACAATCATGTTTTCAGGAGGCTAACAAATGTGCAAACTGATTATTTCATCTAGCTTATCCTAATAATTTTTATGTTCGTATTTTTGATAGTCCGTTGCTTGATTGTTGCAATCGTTAACATGACTCATATTATTAATTAGTGCGGTATATCTGTGGCTTTGTATTATAAAAAAAAAAGTCAACCTGCTTCTCTCTCGTCTTCCCTTGACTTTCGACTCAGGGGTTTGTCGTTTACAACTATTCATGAAACTACTTGCTTTTGCTTTTACGTGTTCTTCCTTTGGATTTGCTAACACAGCATACAGTGATACTGGCTCCTTCTGGTTTTGATTCTGATTTTGCCGGGAGCCGACGTTTAAACCTCTTGTTTGACTTTATCCTCGTCTAACGACGCACTGGGGTTGCCGGCGTGGGCTGTTGCGTCGTACTGCATTCTTCTTGCCGGTGTCCATATTTCGGTAGGAGTCCCTAACCTTCTCTTCTTAAAAAGCCATTCATTAACAAGGTCTTCGAAACTGGGATAGTAGGGCTTCCTACAACACTGGGTTGATCAACTTCCATTTGTTTTGAGACATTCGCAGTACCTGTCGCCGTGTTTCCACCAAACCCGCTTGCAACGCTCATCGCAGTGTTACGCTGTTACTGCTGAGTAGAAAGTGCTTCCGGGGTCGTTCACGGACCTGACTTCAATGCTTAATAGTGTGATGAAACATGGATCATTCAAATTAAATTTAAAATATTATTTTATTTTATATTTATAAAAATAAAAATTTATAAAAAACATGAAATAATTTTAATAAGTTTTTTTATTTTTAATCTGGTTTAAATTTTATTTAGAGTCTCTAATTTAATGTTAAAATTTTTATAATTATTATATATTAACTATTCAAATATATTATGTACACTCTAGATTAATAAATATAAAATTAAAATACATGATAATATTTTAAATGTCCAGATTCGATCACCGTTGTTTACATGTTTTTAAGGGGGGAAATATAATGAAAATTTATTTAATTATATTAATTTAAAAATAATTTTTTAATTGAAAAATTAAATTGATAGTGATGATTGCAAGTAGTTAATGTGAGTGATTTATGAGAGTAATTTTCACTAATATATGTAGTGTATTTTGAAAAAAATAAAATCAAATTAATTTTAATATTTTTATTTTTTGTTTAGGAAAGTAAAAAATAAAAATAATTTTAAAAATAATTAATACTAGAACGCTTGTCCAAATGAATTTTTAAACCAAATGTAGTGTATTTAAAAAAAACTTGAATTACTTCTATTTTTTGTCTTTAGAAATAAAAAATGAAAATAATTTTTTAAACAATTAATACTAAAACACTTGTCTGAATGAATTTTAAAACTTTTTGTTTTTAAAAACATTACAATCATAACTACCCCTTCTCCATAGGAAAGTGGGCAAACACGTGCAAATATATCTATACCGCACATCTAATATTTTTTTTTGTTTTAAATTATATGATATTTTAAATAAAATTTTATATATTAATAAATCTCATTAAATATACTTAATAATTTTATTTTTTTAAATATAAATATAAATTTTTAAAAATATACATCATTTAATATATTGAAAAGAGAAAAGACAAAAATTGATTATAAAATGAGAAAGGATAATATTATAATTAATGCATTTAATGAAACTTTAATTTATCTAAAGTGTTTTTATATTTTAGAACAAAAAAACTCTTTTAAAAATGTTTTATAATTTAGAATGGAAAGAGTAATATTTTTTTAGGTTATATGGAGTAGAACCCACAAACTCTTATTTTTTAAAAGAAGGAGAAGAAGAAGAAGTGTGGGATGCCATTGATGATTGAATCAAGTATGTCTTCTGTTTGAAAATGCAAGTTGTTTTTAATCAAATTTTACATTTCAATAAAATAATTATCTACTTTTAGACTAACTCTATTTTTTTATATTTATTCTTATAAAATACTCTATAATAAATATAAAGTCATTCATCAATTGGGACACTTTTGAAAAAAAAAGCCTTAAAAGACTAATTTTTTTTATATTTTTAAATATTTAACTTCTAAAAAAATGCCTCACATTTTTAAGCGGATGGAGTAGTTCTTAACTATTTAATAGTTTTATATGTTAGCAAATGAAATCGTTTTCTTTGGTTGTTTAATTTTAGTGCTTATTATCGTCACATAATGAGCAATCTATTTAATCTGGATGGTTTAGATTTATCAATTTTATTTTATATTTATTGAAGTACAAAATATAAAATTTTAATTAATCTACCTTATTATTAATCTGAACAATGTAAATTTAATTTAAATGGTTGAATATAATATTAAATTTTTAAATTTTTTTATAAATTGACATGAAATATACACGTGGATTAAATAAAATTTATGAGCTAAATTGTCAAGTGCTAATTTATTATTATTTATTTTATTATTTTATTATGTTGTCATCATTATTGTGGATTTTTGATAAGTAATTAAAATTTGGCATATTTAACTAATGTGTTTTATTTAATCTACACGTATATTCTATGTCGACAATCTAAGCTCCACATCAGCTTGTTTGAGGGCTATTTTTTCTTGCAAATGTAAAGGAGTGGCTTGATAATTGGAGTAAATGTTAAGGATTCAAATGATAGAAATTAAAAATGAGGGACCAAACGTAACGCTTATTTTATCCCTTTAATATTTTAATGAGTGAATCATTTTATGGCGTGTTTTTTTTTTTTTTAAAGAACATGCTTCCCCACTTGTAGAAAGTGAAAAGTTGTTTGGGTGTAAAATTTTATGCAAACCAACTTGTCCAAGGCACATTTTTTAAGTAGATAAAAGTAAAATTGGTGGAAATAAAATATTGATAAAACCCACTGCAAATAGAATATATAGTTATTAGAATCCTTTTATGTGACTCAACAGTAATTTTACAAAAAAAAACAAAGACATATACATAAATATAATTAAATAGAAAAAAATTTATATACTTAATTTTATATATTTAAAGTATTTATTTGTCTTTAATTAATTAAATCAAAAAATGTGAATCTTTTGTTGGTTATTATTCTATAACAAACTTTTATTATTAATAAAAGTACTTCATTTGTAAAAAAAAATTAAGAAATTTTTTAGGGATAGGATGTTAAAAAATATAAAACATTTTTAGTATTTTAAAGTTTTTTTAAAAGTACTTCTAATAAATAAATTACTTGTTTAAAGTAAATCTGAAATGATGATATTAGTTTGAAGATAATTAATTATTTTATTAAGAGTTGAGATTTTATTAAAAATGCTTTATTTTTTTTAACGGAGGAAGTATATTAAGTAAATAAGTACGCCCTCTGTTATATATATATAAGCTATATCACACAGTTTACGAAAATTAATTAATTATAATAATTATATTTAAAAATAAAAAATTAAACTAAAATACCTTGTATTACTCAATATAAGTATACATTAATTGTTTATTGTTAATGTAAATTATGATAAACAATTTAAAAAATTTATAATAAATATTTATTGAAATATGTAATTTTACTTATAAAAAATACATAAAAAATGATAATTTTTCTGACAAATATAAAATAGAAGGAGTACATAACTCTCGTCCTTTATAAGATATGCTTAATATTTTTAACTGTTTATATTAATCTCACTTTAATGCTGTAATTTTTAATTGGGACTGAAAATAGTCAAATATGAGTACATCCGAATTCGAACCACACTCAAATCGACACCAATACCAGTTCGATTTCCACATTCATTGGAGCATGATCAAGTCCACGACGGGTTTAATTCTTGGGCTCTGGAAGTCAATATTCCTGAAATCTTAGATCTTGTTTCTTGTTATTGAAGTACTCCCTTCTGTTTTTTTAAAGACATGCATTTTCAACTATTTTATAAGTATTAAAAATAATTAATTTATTAAATTTTGTGACAAAAGAATTTTAACTTTACTCATATTAAAATAAAAATTAAAATAGAATTATATAATATATCATGAGTCACAAAATTAAATTCACAATTTATTATAGGAGTAAATTTAAAAAATAATAATAAATGCCCTATCATGCAAGAGTGGACCTAGCATAGTTTAAGTGGGCCATTCCCCTAACTTGTCCAATTTTGATGTAATTAAAGGGCTGAATTGTCATCGTCAATGAGATTTTGGTCCCCCTCCCACTTGAAAAAAGTACTCCATACCCCACCCACGTACACGTACACGTACATGCATAAATAAATATATAGACATATAATATATTATTTTGTTAATACATTGAGTAGAAAATTTTCTATTCATAATATAGGATATTTTTTAAAAACTTTATTTAATCAAAAATATTAGACATTATGTAGTCTTAATAATTTTTTTCCAACAACTCTTACTCCATTTATTATTTCTTTTGAAAATTGGTCCAGAATTTCAATAGTCATTATTAAAATACTTATAATACAAGACATTTAAAAAGGGTAAACTTAGAAAGATGTATATAAAATACGAAGGTTTTAACTAAATTTTTTAAACCACCATGTAGCTATCAATGTATATATTATGGAGAGGGTATAAAATAAGTTTATTAAAAAAACTTGAATAACTTTATTTCTTATTTTTTAAATTGCATATACTCCCTATTTTAAAAAATATAATATAATGTGTTTTTTGAATGATTAGATGTTAAGAACGTGTAAGATATTTTTAATATTTCAAAATGTAGAGTGAAGTACTTTATTAAATAAATTTAAATATAAAAAATTAATATTAGTTAAAAGATAAATAATTATTTTATTGATGTAAGATTTTGTTAAAAATACTATATATTTTTTAATGAAGGGATTAGTATTTATCAATCTTAAGTATATCAAAAGTTAAAGATTTTTCTTAATTTTTATTTAAAATTTAAATTATCAATTAATAGCGAAATATGAAAGTATAATATAAATGTAAGCTTTTATATATTTTTATATTTTTTTTAAAATTAATATATTAAATATGTACTTTTAATTAATTATTTTTATAATCATAGATAATTATTATCTTATGATATTTTAAATGGTAAGATTATTTTTAAAAAAATATAAACTGGCAAATATTATTTCTATTAATTTGGCACCCTCTATATGAATGTTGGTTCCTCCGCTACCATATACCTAGTGTTGTCAATTAGGGTCAACCCTTCAAGGATTAGGGCCTAAATGAGTTGGCCCTTTTAACCTTGATTATGTCTTAAAGTTTTATTTTTAGCAGCTTGGCCTTAATCCTCAAGGTCTCGACCTTAATTATTTTTTAATCTTTCAATTTAAAAATTTAAAAAAATATATTTAAAATCCTAACAAAGTTATTACACATCACATTAAGTCTAAGAAAATAAAATAAAATAAATTCATACAATAAAATTTTTAATTCTAATAAAAAATAACATCCCAAAATCAACTCCAACATCAGTTTCACGTTGGTAACATCATCAGCTAAATTTTGATGATTTTTATCATCATCAACATTAATATGATTTGATCCTTCTCCTTGTGGATCCTCATCTATGGCAAATATGTTAAATTTTTCATATCTTTCTTCTTCAACCTCATTATTTGTAATAAATAATAAACCAAAATTATAATTTTAAGGTATTTAAAGAATGCAAAAATATTCAAAGTAAGCAAATAATAATGTGCGTGTCTACTGTTTGGATTAGAGAATGAGTGCTAAGCTTGAGTGATGTGGTGTCTTCTTTTTATTTATTTTTTTATGTTACTTTTTTCAAAAAAAATATATTAGAACTTAAAAGAGCTGACCCTTTTATTTTCAAGTTTAAAAGGATTAGCCCTTTTAAACTCAATTTACTTTTTTGAAGACCAACATAGCGGTTCGACTCTTAATTTTTTCGAACTTAAAAAGGCTGGGTTTACAAGCTCGATTCTAATTGACGGTTTTATATATGCTTTATATTAAGCGTTATATTAAGGATTAAAAAATTATTCTAGGAAGTTTCCTAAATAAGAATCTCCAGAGTCACTTTCTACTATCATCAGCAAAAGTAAATGAATGCATTCATGTATTTGGTGCAGGTATTTTCCTTTTCACAAATCAAAATTGGTAAATTTTAAATTGTAAATTAGTCAAGGAATCCAAAGCATATGGAGCCGTACATAGTTATCAATATCAATATATCAATATTATTATCAACACCAATCAGCGAAAAGCAGCACAATATGCAATCAGACGTAGCCTTGGATCTAGCTGTTGGATAAAGAACAAACAGAAAGGGGAAAAGGCAAAACAAAGAAGGGTTATGCCCCTTGATTAATAGCACATTGGATCAAACCTGAACGGTTTATTTACATGAACAAAGGAAAATACTCAATATTTGGTAAAATCATTGGGTCCAGATTCCAGACTACGAAAGGCAAATACAAGTTGTACAGAGAAAACATAAAATATATAAAAATTCATCAGTTTTTTGTACCTGACTAGTTATGCTTCGAGAATATAAATGTCCATCCATTTATGGAATTCTGTGTTTGGATGGCGGGCTGGAATTGGGAAGCAATTCTAGGTTGTGACAACCTCGGATTTCCAAATAAGTGAGGCAATGACAAATAATCAATCCTTTGTAAACGCAATGAAGTCTTGGTAGGTTGAATAACTTGATAGATCGCAATGGGGGAGTGCGAGAGTGTACACCAAATGATTGGTCGGATGAGGAATTGAAAATATTTCCTTTATCGAGAAACAATCTTCAACAGTCATCTCTTCCAAGTTTTGGAGCTGTGATGACAACTCTGGTGTCAGCAGTTTCTTCATGGTGTGGTATCTCTTCACAACGAGAGCTTTGAGATGGAAAAATGGAGTACTAGGAGGCATCAAGGTTGGTGATATTGTCACTGACTCTGCACTGTCCCTAACATGGAGATGCAAGTCTTTCAAATCACAGAGGAATAGAGAGCCAGTGAGTTGAAGAGAGCGGCAAAAGCAGCAACCATTTGACATGCAAAACAAGAAATTTAGGTTATTACACTCGCTAATGTGACACGATTCTATTTTACATGTTTCAATATCACCATGAAAATATAAAAATTCACATAAGCAACTGGTCCACCCATAGCGAGTTATCCTCAGCTTTTTCATGTCTTTCAACAGCATGATTTCCGGACACTCTTGTTCTGAACCAACAAACTCTATCACTTTTTCACCAATTCCCTCGAATGGTTCATATTCGTCAAAAATCGGCTGCGTCTCGATGCCCAGGCCAAAATAATAGCTGAAGAGGTGGTGACCTCTTCTCCAAAGGCTTGCCATGAAGTTATTGAACTCTAAAACGTCATAAAAATGTGCTGAAATACTCTCTAGTTTTTCCAAATATAGTAGATCTTGGGCTTTGACATCCATTAATCCAGGTGTGCAGTTAAGATGGAAGGATTGAAGCTTGGTCAATTTGGCAAAATCAAAACTCACTTGTGTCCATTGCGGATTGAGTCTTGTAGTTCTTCGTACATCGAACCATATAAGATTTAGCAGCATTCCTAAACCTTGAGGAACTCCAATAATTCCTGTGCGGAAAAGGCTCAATCACATCAGCTTTTGCAGCTTTGATAATGAAGGTAAATATTTCAGTGATTCACATCTATGAAGCCACAAAGCAACAAGATACTCCAGCTCTGAAACAGATTTTGGCAAACATTCAATAGCAGTATCAGATAAATTAAGCACTTTAAGAGCTTTCATGCTCAAGAAAAAATCATCTGGGATCCATCTGAGGTGGTAATTCTGATGCAACAGAAAGATTGAAAGATTAGGACACAGGAGAAATGCCTTCTGGAATGATTACTATATCCTGGTTCATCAAATAGACCTTTTGTAGATCTTCTTCCCATTGATCCTTGTTTGGTATTTCCATCAACCGTTCATCAATATTCACCATCACTATGAAAGTCCTTTTTAGAATACCAACTGCCATATCCCAAATTATCTCATGTAATCTAACATCCTTCCCTTTTTTACCCATGAGTATGAGACTGATGTTTTTTAACTTGTTTAGGATGCTGAGAAATTCATAATGATTTGCCTCCAACCTCTGTGTTCCATCTATCAATCCCTCAAAGGCAAGATTCGTGAACTCATATTGTAAACTCAAGGCACAATGCAAGAAACATTCTTGCAACTTTCTACTATCCAAGTTATCATAGCTTGATCTTAGAATAGGAACCACCCATTTGCTCATATCATATTGTCCGCTCAGAGAACTTCTTAAGCTTTCTAGCAAATGATTCCATTCCACAATGTCTTCTTTTCCTTCCATTCTTCTTGCCATTGTAACAGCCGCAAGAGGCAAACCAAAACATTCTTTCACCACAAGCCTAGCTGTTTACTTCATCTCATCAGACAACCTTCCGTTTTCTTTGATAGTCTTTTCAAACAAATCCCAAGCTCCTTCTGCATCGAAAGTCTCCATCCGTAAAATATTCTCTCGGCAATTCATACTGTAGCACATATCCAATGAACGAGTTGTCAAAATCAATTTGTTTCCATTTCTCCCTACGGTGAACCCCGCCTTATCCAAACAAAGATACTCCCAGACATCATCTAAAATAAGTAAACATTTGTTTATGTGTTGAAATGCATGTAACAATCTTCCTGCTATTTTATTTCCCTCGCACTCATATGATATACCTAAATTGATTGATTTAGCAATGGTCTTCTGTAGTTGGTTCACACTATAATGTCGGGACACAGTGAACCAAATAATATAATCAAAACCAATATCATCTCTTTCAAAAAGTTGATTATGTATGTGATTGAGCAGAGCTGTTTTCCCCACTCCAATTCCCCATACTCTAATTGCAGACACCACATTTTTCGTCAGCCACTCCCATATCTTTTTAGCATAATTCTGGAATTGCTTGCCGATTAAATCTTTCGTTGCCCATGGATATCCTTTAATATCTCCTGGAACCAAAAAAGGGGACGGCCAGGAATTAATATTGGAGCAAGGAAAGATATGTCTCACATATGTGATAAAAATTAGGGTTAAATATTGTTCCCCCCTTAAAGTTCTTTTCTCTTTAGAAACACTGAATACCCTATATTGAATGATAGAATAATATTCCATCTAAACAATTTTTTTCAGAGCAAAATTACTTTTCCACCAAAGACATGTCATATTCTCCATCGTCATGGAAACAGTAAGGCATTCAGACTTATTTTACCATTGTTTCACATATTAGATGAGGCTAAGTATCTGTCACTACTATTGCACTTTCAATCTTAGTTTCTGCCACTATTATTACACTTCCAGTCCCTTTAGCCCACATCAAATGGTTGAAATGGGTCATAATGCCTTTCTATCTACCATCATTTTACATATTAGATCAGGTTTAGTTTTTGCATTGCTATTGCACTTCCAACTCTTTTAGCCTACATCAAATAATCAAAATGAGTCATAATGCCTTACTATCATGGTTGTGGGCCTCACAACTATTCTATATCAACAAGTAGTGAAGAATTTTTATGGTAGGGTGATTTTGCTTTTAAAAAAATTGTTTAGTGGGGTATTGCCCCTATTTTTTAATATTGAGTGTCTAGTACTCCTCAGAAGAAGTTTAGAGAGAAAATGGCTCTAAAAATTATAATCATAAATAAATAAACTTTTTTGTGCTATTTAATTTTTGTAAGAAATCGTTGTTTTATTCAAGTTTATTATACATATGAAGAAAATTAGATAGGAAGGGAGAGTTTTAGTTTGGGGCTATTTATACCTTTTTCCAAACCACATGGAGAGTTACTGGAGCTGCCAAACTTTTGTTTAACATCTTCAGTCTGTTTTATCCTAAATTTAGAAAAATGGCCATAGTCTTCTTGTGCATGGTTTTGCTGGGCAACTCTTTTGCCTAACTCCATTCTTTGGTAATTTAAGTCATTCTTGAACAATGCCGGAGCCAAACTCAACCTTTTTTCATCGCTATCAAGCTGCATTGTTATATATCTATCTATATTAATTTATTTAATGAATATAAAAAATAGATATATATAGTTGAATAATAAGTGAGCATACCTTTAAAGAAGAAGAATTTACGCTTGCATTTTTAGCTGATTGTTGCATAAAGTTGATAACAAATATACCACAATCAGACCTGCCATCAAAAGAATCATTATAATGAAGGCCAAGATTATATTGCTACCTCGTATATTACACCTGAAGACCGAAGAGTTTGAGATAGTAAAACAAACTCATTGAGATGCTTTGGAGTTTTCTTTGCCATTGCCACATGAAACTCCTCAAATGGGAGAGTACCCATTTGGAGTTCATCTGAGAATAAAAAATCGAACACAGACAGCTGCCGATGCAGGATTTGCCAAAAACAAAAAACAAATATATAAGTTTTAACAATTAGTCCGTTTTTCTTTTAAAGATATATATATGTTTTAACAATTATCGTCTAACTCTCACCAGCCGATATGTTGTGTCTTTGCGTTCTTCTATGGAAAACGGAGGTAAGGAATCCCAAATTTCAACCCTTTGACTCCTCAAATGCATCACGTATATCTAGAAATGTCCTGTGGAGTTTTTGTTGATATGGACAGGAATAAACATCTGTGACAATGATAGCAACACAAGTTAAATGAAAAACAATTATATATATGTTAACAGTAGAAGTTGAAAAGTGTCCAAGCATAATGAACAAATGCTTACCTTCTCACAATTCACCAATTTGGACATATAATTTTCTTTTATTTCTTTCCCTTTAACAAAATTCAGGAAGGATTGTGTATCTCCAAATGCTGCAGAAGACTAAGTTTTTTTTTTTTTTGGAAACACCAATAAGTAAAACTTATATTTATATGTAGAAAACAAAACAGTTTAAAATGATAAAAGAATGATTTAAAAGTTATCGAGAACATTAGTGGCAAATACCAATTTAACTGCGTACTTTTTTCCTTGCGCTCATTCTCAGTAAGGTACTCACAGAAAATATTTATCACCTAACATAGTAAAATTTAGTAATAACACAGTGAAGAATTTTACGTGTTAACACAACAAAACTATAAAGAAATACAAATTCATATTGATAAGCATCACAAGAGTTTGGGAGAATGAAGAAGGTTTGGGGAAGAGAGAGATATATATATATATAACTGAATCAGGAAGGCAATACTGCTTCTGGTTTGAAAGATGGTCCACCATAAATGGATCACTACCAATAAATTTGTGCGAAACTATGCACTGATAGTAATTTCTCCATGAAAAAATTAGTTGTGAACTTTGGGTCTTTGACATGATATGAGAGATTGATTTTTCTTTAGTTGAAAAATTGGTTTAAAACTTTAAGTATTCTGTCTTTTCTTGAATGGAAGTGTCATAGTTTTATTCAAAAAAAAAAAGAGATATTATTTATAAAAAATATGTCATAAGATTGGTGTATTTATAAAAAAAAATTAGAAGCAATTCGTATTCCCCACCTTTAAGCAAATTCTCTTCTTCTCTCTTTGGCCTCTCCGCTTTTCCTCCTCTGTTTTTCTCTATCGACAATCCACCACCTTTCTCTTCCTTTTTTTTTTCTCAATAAAATTAAAGTTGATAATTAAATCCCATTAAATTAAAATTAAATTTTATTTAACTTTTACCATGTAAGACTCGAAAAGAACAATTGTGGGTATTTGAAAATCATAAAAAAGGAAAGAACTTTTTTTTTTTTCAATGCATGAAGATATTATTTTGTTTTTTTTTATATTTTATTATAAAAGGAGAAAATTGGTCCACCAATGTCCAAAAAATATAAACCAAATTTTTAAAAATTTAAAAATATGATTGATTTATATGCTTCCATATATATAATTGATATACATCCGTATATAATTGATAAATTTTAGCAAAATTTGTAAAATTATTTATACAATTATATATCAATAATAAATATTAAACTAGTCACTTTTTTTTTAAAATATAAAAAATATTGGATTATTATTTTAATTTGGCGACTATATATGTAAAAGTCTATTATAAAAACCAATTTTTTCTTTTTTTAGTTCCTTAAATTTAATATGTTTTTTATTTATTTTTAATTTAACAGAGGGCGTTCACACTTCTCTTCCTTCTAGTCCGTGGGTCTGTCATCCTCTTCCATCGTGCCGTTCGACTGTTCCCTCGTCCGTGGTCTCACTTCAGTATCTGGTTTGCTCCCTCTCTCCCACACACTCTCTTCGTCTTCCCTCTCCATTACACTTTGATCCTGTTGTATGGTTGAATTAATTTTTTTATGGCTTATACTTATTTGTGCTGAATTATTTATGTATTTATTGGGATTGTGCCGAGTTTGCTTTGGAGGCTTCCCGAAGTAATGGTTATTCTGATCTGGGAAGAATGCTCCGAAAGCTGCAAAATGTAAATTTTCAATTTCTGATGTAATGCTTTCCTTGAATATAAGATGATTCGTGAAGGACACAGCATAATTAGTGATATAGTTATTCTTGAATATTGTTTATTTGGATCTTGCTTAATGAATTACAATATTGAATTTTGAAGATTGGTCAGCAATTTGTCCTTTCATAATGCACTTGGCACTTCCATGACAAATTGTTGGAACTTGTGGTGGGTCATCGTTACGCTTTGCTTAAGTTTTTTTTTTTTTTTGGGAAAGACAATGAAATGATATTTTAATTATGAACAATTGGCCTTCCTAAGTAAGAAGCTTCTTTTCAAAGGTTTCAATATATTTTATAAAATCAAAATTAATCTTCTTTTGCTCCACCTCTGTTCAGTTGTATTATTTGTGCTGTATTGTGCCGAACTATTCTCGGGAGTTTGCTGAATTTTTGTTGAAATGCTGTTAAGCTATTCGTTTTAGATTGTTTGTTTATTTGTGTTGGAAAGTTTGATGATTGAAGGATTGTAGGGATGAATATTTTGAATTTTGTTATCTTTTATTATTGTTACAATTATTTGTATGATGTATGAGATATTAAGTCTTGGACATGGATGATTGTTTTGAGGATTAATGCCTTCCTAATTAAATTATATTATTTTTAATTATGATTGGTTTGACTCCGGTTAGATCACTAACCTTTGAACTAGTATCTCGATTCAATGATTGATCCAGTTTTTAGTAACTTGATTTCTTTTATTTCCAACAATTTCCTTCACCTTCTCTGGATAAACTAGCGGTGGAACTCCTCGCACCATCTGAAAAAATCAATTCACCTCACTGTTTTCATTTTCACTCCTGCTCATACCTGTCTTTCATTTTTGTGCAGATCAATCCCACTCTCTCACTCTCTACCTTTTCACTTGCTTGATGGTTTCTCTTGCTCCCCACTTTTGTTCAATCACATAGAGGTTTCAGGTTTGGCTCTCTCGGCTCCCCTCTTGCACTTTTTATTATGTTAAGAGCTCATTTATGCTCTTGTGCATACGTTTGCATAAGGCATAAGATTTCCTATGGCTACATGGAAGCCTAGAAGGGACCTCAATGAGGTAGTTATCTTGTCTGGAAAGGAAATTGAACTAGGGCACAAGATTTTTAAGTAAAATTATTTAATTTAAGAGACTAATTTTCTGTCCATTGAATTTGTGGCAATTCAAATCTATGTGTTCTCAAACACTCAATCAACAAGGAAATGTCAACAAGGAGGTTCATTTAGTCTATATGTCTATCATTTGCTCAGAAGTTTTGTGAGCAGAGGGAACCTAATTGAAATCTTATCTTGTTTACTTTTTTTTAACCAAACTAGATCTTGAAATTTTTCACAAGCATGAGTACTTACTATAATTTGAACTAACAGATCCCAAGTCAGATTATAGTTGTTAGTTATCTTTCAATCACTATTTGATTTTCCTAAATTTCTTCCTTACAAGAATATTAATGTATGCCAAGCCTTTTTTGTTTTTGTTTTTTGTTTTGGGTGCAAATTACCATAGCTCCTATCATCATCAAAAGGTCTTCCAAAAAGGAGTTAGTGCATATTAAAAATTCAATTTCGTTATATTCAGGTTGCAGGAGCTGCTTTCATCTTTGAGGTGCAAAGTAGTTCTAGATCAGAAGCAAGGAAGGAAGAAATACGTAGACTGGAAATACAAGTTGTCTTTGAGGCTTCCTCCTTGTTTTGTATGTTATCTGATATGACTATAGTTTATAGAGGGATTTTCCTGCTGCACATTTGTCTTCTTGTAGTCCTTAGACATGGTATCGTTTGCATCCATTTTTACCGATTGTCAAAATTTATGGAGGTTTTAAATTGAAAATGGGATGCGTTATTGATCTCTTGGTTATCTTCCATAGGAAGAGTTTGTAAGCTGTTGTTCAGGACCACACTATTTTAATCTATGGAAAATGTGGCCAATGTATTTTACTGATCTACCAACTTTCTTATATATAGAGAATATACAAGATAAAGCAATAAATACTTACACCTAACAACTACTCTAGTTAACCCTAATATACAATAAATACAAAGAATAGAACAAAGAATAAATTGTAATTCTCAACACTCCCCCTCAAGCTGGTGTGTACAAATCATATGCACCAAGCTTGTTACAAATGTACTTTATTTGAGGTCCCTGAAGAACTTTGGTTAATATGTTTGCTAGTTGATCATTGGAGCTGACATACTTCGTAGCAAGACATCCTAATTGAATCTTTTTGTTCACAAAATGACAATCTATCTTAATGTGTTTAGTCCTCTCATAAACATTAGATTTGAGGCTATATTCATTGTAGCCTGATTGTCACAAATCAAGTCCATTCTAGTAATATTCTCGGATTTTAATTCTTGAAGAGGTTGTTTTAACCAGATAAATTCACATGGAGCTATGGCCATGGCACGATATTCAGCTTCAGCGCTAGACCTAATGAAAACATTTGTTTTTTTACTCTTCTAGGAAATTAGATTTCCACCAATAAACACACAATACCCTGAAGTAGAGTGTCGATCAATCGGGTATTCAGCCTAGTCCGTATCACTATACCCAATAATCTAAGTATCATCCTGGGAATCGTCCTGATCACTAACCATAGCCAATTATTTGAGAATTCCCCTTGTCTTCATATAAGGGTCCTTGACTTGAGGTTCCCTTGATGCATCTAAGAATTTGAATTGCAGCTTCCTAGTGGCTATCTGATGGAGACTTGATAGTATGAGATACTAAGTCCCACATTAAGTAGTATGGAATATTCAATGGGATATATAAGTAGGTTGGTTTTCCCACATCAATAGCTAGTTTTTGAGATAGGGTTCCCTATCCTACTTGGGTATCTATCAATTGGTATCTAATAAGATTGCTTTTGCTACCCAAACCTATAAAAGGAAAATTAAGAAGCATGAAAATGGAAAGATGCTTTTAGGCCCAACTATTAAGGAGCAAGAAAGTAAAAATTAAGGCTACTTTAGAGTTGCTTTTGACCTGGCTTAGGAGAGGGCATGTTTGGAGCCCGTAAGGGCTGTCTTTTGGGTTTATAGTGGTGCTCTAGGCCCGCAAGCAGATTATGTCATTTGTCTTTTTATTGTTGTGAAGAGGGGACTGGCCTCTCAAAAGCCAGTGAGCGTTCTGTACTGAGAGTGATTATGTTTGTCTTAGTTGCTGTGATTTTTCCGTTGTAACAAGGAGTCCTTCTTGTAACTTTGATTCAGTAACTTATCTGATTAATCTTAAAACCTCAGGATTTCCCTTATATTGTGTTCTGCTGTTGCATATTTGCTTTTTTTTGGCTCACTTAATCCACAGGGTCTCATCATTTGGTATTAGAGCTGTGAGATCTTAAGGGTTACATAGTCAGCATTCTGACCACCTAAAAGCATCTTTCCTTTTTCATGCTTCTTAGTTTTCCTTTTGTAGATTTGGGCAGCAAAAGCAACCCTATCAGTATCAAGCCTTGTTGTCGGAAGTTTCGGAGAGAGCTGCCTATGGAGGGTTTTGACTAGAGACTTGGCAGTATGGGATACTAAGTCCCATATTGAGTAGTATGAGATGCTCAATGGGATATATAAGTGGGATGATTCAATGATTTTCTTACTGCACAGTTGAAAATGTCTGTGAGGCTTATGATCTCATTGTTAGTACAATACCATGTTCTATCTGACTTCAAATTTTATGGAGCTCAGATGTTTGTATATGGCTTCAAGTAGCTTGATTAACTAACTTATCTTGTATATCATTTCAGGTGAAACTCTATCAGTGAATTTGTAGACAGCAAGAGGGTGGATCAAGAGTTGCAACAGTTGAGATACTCAACCACATTCAGGTTGGCTTGACTGTTCTCTCTTTTGCTTATGATACATCACCTTGCATTCTCAAAATTAAGTGGATTTCTTTTGCCTATTCATTGCATTACAATGTTGATATTGGCTAATATATCTATAAATCAGCAGCATGTGATATTTAGTAACCTTACTAAGTTATCGAGAAAATACCTGAGAATTAATTATGATAGCTGAATAATGTATATTAAATATTTATACACATCCTTCTACTAATTGGGTATGGGTGGCTCCAAAGAACAACAGATTCTGGCTCCAAAGAATGTCATTATGGCTGTGCTATAGTACTGGCAATGGTACCTTTTGCCTACATTTGATTGCATAGGAAACCATGAAGTCCATAACAGTGTTCCTAAAATCAAAGCTATTTACCCTAGTCCATCTCCCAGTATTGAAGAAGATTAAATTGTTTCTTGGCCAGTTTGACATTGATGATGATTCTGTGGCGTTAAAGCATTTCTTTTATGAATTTGATTTAATTTGTTTATAGGCTATGGCTTGTATTGTTAGTTTAGTTGCCTCTCTCAATTCTGTAACATTGTGTTCTAACTTTTAATTAAGTTTTTACCTTTAGGGAGTCAAACTTTCGCATTACTTGGAGTATGAACCTCATCTTCAATCTCGACTAAAAAATCAGTGATAATTTATTCAGTATGGTCCGCTCGAAGTGTCATGACCAAAGAGATGTTCACTTCTTTTATATCAAAATCATGAAGCTGCATTAGATGGAATTAATGATTTTTTTTTCCTAATCATATATGTAGCTTGCTTTGCGCAAAAAACTGAGAGATAGATAATGTTTATTATGCTTGTTCTTGCTTAATAGTATATCTGTCACTTTTTCTTTCTTTCTTTCTTTCTTTCTTTCTGTTTTTTTTTTTATATACTGGGCGTACATGTGTTACTTTTCTTACATTTTTTTCTTTCTTTTCTCTCTTCATATCTGATATCTTGAATACCAAACAACCTGTTAGCTATTTTGTTTTTAGTTTACAACCACTTTTTGTACTTAAATAGATTCTATCATTTGTTGTCTATAAAACTAGCTAACAGATGATTTCTTTTGTGTCAGCTTTTCTCGAAATATGGATGGATAGAAGAGTAGTGATCGTGGCCAGAAATGCACATCGAGGCTTTGAAAGTTTATATATATATATATATATATATATTGATGTCACTAGTTATAATGTATTTTAAGAGTCTAATCTTTTACTGGTACTTAAACATTGTGTTTAAGGCCGATATAAGGACATGATCTTATTGTATGTTGATATTGTCAACATTAATATTATTGGAACTTTGGGGATCAAATTTTTGTTTGTGCAATATATATATATATATATATATAAAACTTTCCCTATAGGCAATCACTTTAAATACTGTAAAACACCATTTCCCTATAGGCAACGCTTTTTACCCTTACTAACACCTTCAGATGTTTGCGAGATGAAGCAGGCCTGCTACCTCAAACAACACACACACACATATTGACTTCACATTTGACAAAAAACTAGTGACTGGGAATGAAAATCATGTTTGCCAAGTTCATGATACAAGAGCCGTGATTAGGGTCGACAATCTTCAAGCCAGGAAAGCCAAATTTCATGGTATCACAGCCGAGCCACAAAGCTCAGTTGGCGATGTGTCTTTATCGGGGACCAACGAGCTGTCATTATAGATAATCAAAGGACACAAGCTTGATCCTGACTATTATCTCCAGTAGTCACTTAGCTAATTTATTGTTACATCAATGGCTACTGATGTCATTGACTCAAAGTTTGCAATCAAAAACAATCATGTCATATCATGGTTTGTGAGTTCCATAACCCTAGAAAGAGATGGTACAAAGCAAAGAAGAAATGCACCCAATGCTCTGAATCTTGATGTTGAGTCCATGACCTTCATTCATTTTTCATATCTACTGTAGGCCGCAGTCATTTCTGCTATATATGGCCTTCATTCATTGTGACTTACCACAGTATTAACTAGTGTAATGTAATTTAATTTTTCAAGCTTGACATGGAGGAATTCATTCACTTAAGGTGGTGTTAGAAGTGTAAATAATTTTTGTGTTGCCGTTCGTCTTTTAGGTCCTTCTTTGTCATTTTGTTTCCTAGCTTAGCTTTCTCATCTATAAACATCCACGTATACTGTATCCTCACACACACACACACACAGATATATATATCTACTATCTAATTCTTGCAGGAAGCCTACAATGTTCCTTATGAGTTGGTACTGGAGCTACAGAATATTAAAATTGCTAAAAGCATGCTTAGCCATATTTTAGGCTGGAATATGAATTACAGCAAGGAAAATGAATTCATAGACAGTTTTGTGCTTGAGCTCGCCAGTTTCTTAGTAATTTTCTCTCGTTCTGCCTCCGCAAATTCAACAGAAGAATCCCAGTTTATAACTTGTTCCTTTTTTGAAGTCGATCACGCATAAATAGTAATGTCCAATACCCTTTTTTACATGTATCGGCATAAACATATGTTCCAACCATGAAAACACAAGTCAAATAAACAAAATTTTAAATGTAAATAGAAAATTTTGAAAATGCATTGTTACTTAAAATAAGTGTATATACCTTTTCATACCGTCCCAAGTCGGGCATGTAGTTCTTTTATATGATTGCAATCAACAAAATTTATGAAAGTTATCAACTGGACCTCCAAGTGCAAATTCCTAATATTGAAAAGGAATTATGGTAGATAAAAGCGATGTTGATATTTTAAAAAATGAACCAAGTAAAAATAATTAAAAGTAATTTAATAATTACCTAGATTAAGAGGGGAAAATAACAGTTTAACTGTGCACTTCTCTCCTTACGCTGTTTGCAGTTAAGGCAATCAGCAAACATGTCCATCGCCTGACGTGGAGGATTTAATGAAATCACAAATTAGATTGTTTACATATTAGCATGAAATGAATCATAGGTACAATGAAAACTTACTTCTGAATTTAGACATTCTTTGGGTCACAGTGAAATAAAACTGTTTGTATATACTAGCAGATGTGCAGATGTAACAATCATCTCATCACCACTAGTAAAGATATGTATATATATTATGTTAGTAAAATAACAGATAGCTACTTCAAAAAATTGAGTAACTTTTAAGGATCAAAAGTAGCATCAATTTTATTCTTACCTTCTATTCCTTGACTCATCAAACACATTCAATTAATTGGACGTCTGTGTCCTCAATATTCTCTATATTCGAGATAGAGAAAGGACCAATTTGTCTCCTTCCCTTCACTTCTGGGGTTGCCTGATCCAATTGTGCTTCTTTAAACTCATGGGTGTCTGAAATATATGAAATATTTGTGTTGGTTATAACAAAAGTACTAAAAAAAAAAAATTAGCTTGTCAGACCAAAAATCCTAAAACAAAGGGAATAATTCCCCAAGAAAAAATTGGACAAGAGATAAGTTCATAAATTATTATTTTTTAGTTTCAATCACAAAATTCATTAAAAGACTCCGAATCAGTAAAATAAATAGTTCAACCGTCAAAAAATTATTTTTTTCTAAAAAACCTAACCATATTTCTAAAGAATGATTAATTCTCTCTAAGGGAATGGAAGACTACTGAACAAATGGGATACAAATATGGATATAAATTACAATTCCGAATATATTTATAATAAAAATGTTACAATTAAAGTTAAGCCGGGAGGTAGTATAAATTAAAGCAAGTCATATATCATAGATATCTTAACTTTGATGATAACTAGTATGTGGTCCGTGGTTTAAAATGATAAGTAATTATTTAAATAAATAATAAAATATAAGTTAAATTATAAACTTACATTATTATTAAATAAAAAACTTTTAAATTAAAGTAATTGATGTTTTCAATAGTAATAATGCGTTAAATATAACAATGATTTAAAAATTCCCTTATAACTTCCCCACATAATGAATTCAAAAGCAAAATCAATTTTATAAAATATATTTAAATTAAAATTTTATTATTAAATTTAAAATTGTAAATAAGAAGTTGAAAAATTATGATAACGTATAGGATTGTGATAGAGAAGATTTAAGAAGAAAAGTAGCTACAAATAGTTTAGAGATAATTTTTTATTATTTTTAGGGATAAGAAGAATGTGGTGATGATATAGAGAAGATTGTTGAATTATAATTTTTTTATAATTGTTGAATTATGAAATTTGGAGAGAATATTATTTATCATGATTTTCTGTTTGTATATTGCTGGTTAAATTAACATTTAAGAAAAGGCTATATGATTAAATATAGATATAAAATTATGTTTAGTGAAAATGGTATCACACAAAAATAATTATATTGAAAACAAATAATTACTATTACTAATAAATGTAAAAAAAATGCATACTTAGGTAGAAAAATTATAAGTTTATAACACTTTCATGTTACATCACGTTCATAAATTAAACTACATATACTTGAAAAATTCTAAAAAAGTTTTAAATTTATGTCAAAATCCACAAGGTTAAGGCAATTATTCAAGTGGGGTTACCAAAACATGGGCATGTTAATTCATTACTTAGTATCCTTCCTAAAATTTTTAGAATTAATTTTGAAAAATAGATTTCCACTTTTCTGTTGTGATTTGTGAAAACAAAGCATTAGCTATGCTTGCTGCATCATCACATGCACACGCGTACATATTATAGAATAAATATGAGATTTTCTTCTTTATATACAGGCTACTTAATAATCAAACATAAGATAATCTCATAGTCAATAATACGTTATAATGCATATATGAGTTTCCAAAGTTTGATATCTATACAAATAGATATCAACATTGTTCTAGGTTGAAACCAATCTCCCCCCCCCCCCTTTTTTACCTTTATTCATATCTCCTTGGGCTATTGTTGGCAAACACATGGGGAGATAATACCTAGCAATCCAAAAGTAACTCTAAAACCTTCTCAGCATGCATATTCAACATCAACAAATCTAGTACAATTATTTTATACATTAAGGATTCGCAACAAAAAATAGTGGCTTTTAAGATAATTAAGATAACTAATAACAACATGCTTTTAAGATAGATTTTGAGTAAAAGACAAAGAAGCATGAGATAATTAAGAAATTATAAATTTATTAAAATGTATATATAGAAATCCAAACATGGAGGGAGAAAACCACAAGCACGTTTGATTCATTGTAATTTATAATGAGACAAGGTGATAAAAAATTAGGATAACAAAGATCATGAGAGAGGAAGTTAAGACCATGGAAGTTCAATTATGGGAATAGACAAATAAGGAAGATAATGAGAGTAATTTGGATAGTTTTTGTTTTAAAAGAAATAATGGGAGGTGATTTTTAACAGTTCCAAAAATAAGGGATTAGTCTTTTTTTTTAACTCAATATCAATTTTTGAAATTAACAATAGCATGGATAGCTTAGAATTGCATAATTTCAAAATTTGCAAATCCATTGGTAGAAATGCTGCATGCAATTATATATATATATATATATATATATATCATGGAAGAAGAAGTTAAGATCATGGAAGTTACAATAATGAGAATATAGATAAATAAGGAAGATAATGGAAGTGACTTGGGTAGTTCTTTTTTAAAGCAAATAATGGGAGGTGGCTTTTGATTCAAGAAGAGACCAAGTGGTAGTCAAAACAGTTACTGGGGAATCAAATGATTTAATTTTAAAAATGTTTTGGCTCTATGCTTCTAAAATCCCACCTTGACAATATTGCCAAGAACAAAGAGAAGATGAGCAACTTTCCCCTTGCAATGACTTGTGATTTCTATAGTTGCTTTATCTCTTTGAACTTCACAAAGTGGTTGATATTTTTTAACTTGATCCCCTTGCCAAAATGACATGATCAATTATTGAGATGAATTGCTTAAAAAAGTGGTAACCTCGAATGAAACATGGAGCCAAACTTTTTTGTTGACAAATATTTTAACTTATTGAAATACTTATTGAAAGTTACATTCCACCTCCAAACATATGTTGTAAGTATTAAAAAATGGAAAGAAGTAAATTGTTGAAAAAGCATAGAACCAAGGATAGAAGTTAGGATAGAATATTGCATATTTGTAAAAGAAAGAAAGAAAGAAAGAAAGAAAGAAAGAAAGAAAGAAAAAAGCAAGGAAATAAGGAAACCAACCAATCACTCACCTCTTGCACAAACCATTTGAGAAGTTCACATTCTGCAATACCTTTATCGATTTGTGCCAACAGCACGTCAACTATCTCACTCGCAGGAAGGTCTGCCTTGGCTTCAGTGGAGAGCAATGTGTCTTCGTTGTATGAAACAGTGAACTACAAAGTGCAAAGATTTAGTTGTGAGGTTTTTTTTTTGACAATTT